CGGGCGCGGCACGGGCTAGAGAAGAGATGGAGTGATGTGGTACAGGAGGACGTGGAGCTGAGTGGACTTGCCGATGACTGGTACCAGCGGTGTCAAGATCGGCCTCTGTGGAGGAGGCTCGTGAAGGATGCTACTGGGCAGTTGGAGGCAGTCGCCCTCCAACAACAACGGAGGGCGGAGGAGCGACGCTCAGAACAACGAGCGGAGCGCCGGGTGGCTAAAGCACAGCAGGTTGGCACAGTAGGGGGCACAGGTGGTGCATCAGCCAGTCATCTCAGTCAGTCGACCCGTGGCACCTGGGTCTGCCCAGTGACCTCCTGCCAGCGGGCGTTCGACACTTCACGTGGCTTCACGGTGCACATAGCCTGGCACAAGCGTCGTGGTGACGTCACCGCCACTTAGTGGCGAATGGCGGTTGTTGTTGTTGTTGTGTTGTTGTGTGTGTGTGTTGGTGTGTGTTGTTGTGGGTGTGTGTGTTGGTGTTGTGTGTGTTGGTGTTGTGTGTGTTGGTGTGTGTTGTTGTGTGTGTTGGTGTGTGTGTGTTGGTGTGTGTTGTGTGTGTGTGTTGTTGTGTGTTGGTGTGTGTGTGTTGTTGGTGTTGTGTGTGTTGGTGTGTGTGTTGTGTGTTGGTGTGTCTTGGTATGTGTGTGTTGGTGTGTGTGTTGTTGTGTGTGTGTTGTTGTGTGTTGGTGTTGTGTGTTGGTGTGTGTGTGTGTGTTGGTGTGTGTGTGTGTACGTGTGTGTACGTGTGTACACGTGTGTTGGTTGGTGTGTTGGTGTGTACGTGTGTGTATGTTCGACACTTCACATGGCCTCAAGGTGCACATAGCCTGGCACAAGCGTCGTGGTGACGTCACCGATACTTAGTGGCGAATGGCTGTTGTTGTTGTTGTGTGTGGGGAGCGGTGGTGTAGTGGTTAGCGCTTCGCTGTGAACCAGACGACACGGGTTCGATTCCCGCTCACGGCCAACACCAGTGACGATCATCTGAACCGCTCCTGGGCCTCTCCTAGGTCGACTTAGCCCCAAATGAGTACCTGGTGCGGTGTGTAAACATCACCACTGGCATATCTATCAACCCCTTATCAGTGTCCCTACCTTGTTACAGACCTTGACTGGTTACCCCGTGCCCCTTACAAATCCCAACGTTCATCCTACAAAGTCCCATCACAAGGGATCAAACACAAATAGACAAAACTGTTTTTATTACACACTTTTATACTGGTAGGAACCTCTTGGTTACACCAGCCCACAGGGGATTATTGTGTCCGTCCGTCCGTCGTGCATCCAAAAATGGGTGGGGCTGGGTGGAGAGGGGAAGGTGGGGAGGGTGGGGCTGGGTGGGGAGGGGCTGGGAGGGGAGGGGAGGGTGGGGAGGGGCTGGGTGAGGAGGGAGGGAGAGGTTGGGTGAGGAGGGGAGGGTGGGGAGGGGCTGGGAGGGGAGGGTGGGGCTGGGTGGGCTGGGTGGGTGGGTGGGGGGTGGGAGGGGTGGGGAGGGGCGGGGTGGGAGGGGCGGGGTGGGTGGGGCTGGGTGGGGTGGGCTGGTCACCCCGTGGTGCCCTTATAAAACTCAACGTTTAACCTACTCACGCCGGCTTGTGCCCGCCCTCACAGTCGGGCATATTTGCGGAATACACCACGTGGTGCTGCCGTTGACCCTGGCCATTGACCGAGCAACCCAACGTTCCTACCAGCCCCCTCCGCAGGAATGTGTTTAACTCACTCTGTTGTTGTCGTTGGTTCCTCAAATCTCGTAACTCAATTTTAACCCACTTCCCAATGTGGTATCGACTGCAACCTTGGTATACTTATGTCATACTGATGACAATACTATATTCTATCATGAACAAACATTTTTTCAAACATTATTTTGTATATGTTATGTTTCGGCTTGGCTCTAATTGTCCACGGTCAACTGACGTTGGCTGTAATTGACCACGGTACCTTACGTTGTGGCCAGCTTCGAGGCCACTTCCTGGAGTCGTGAAGTTCTTACATTACTAGTACGGTACATTTCATTAACGCGTGTTTTTAAAAAGTTTATTTTAAATATTACTTATTGTTTCCCGGATTGAAACGGCTGTACGCCGTATGGACCTGAAAACTCAATTTCCCTTGTACAGGAATACTGGTAAAGCGTATGGGTTGACATGTATGCACTGGGGAGACAAAGGCGGCCGGGCGTGGCGCTGCACCACTCATAGTTGCTCGCTCACAGCACTCTCCCCAACAGTTTGTTAAGGCTACACGGATGATCTTTGTTTTGTGTGCGTGTGTAGGTAGCGCGCTCCGCTACGAACACGGCCATCCCATTTCGATTCCCGCTCACGGCCAACGTCAGTGGTGAATACCTGAACGGGTGGCGAGAATCCACCGTGGAAGAGCACCCGACGCGGGGTGTAAACATCACAACTCGGGAGCAAGGCGTGCCAGCACGACACGGAATTTTCGGGGTGCTTAGGTACGGCACGAGATATTTGTAAAGTTACTTGTGGGGTTCGTATTACTTTCTGGAGCGTCTTGTAATTAGTAATAAACACAAGCATGCGATCATAATACCTCTTCTTATTTGTTTCATACAGGTGAATACTGTGTGTCACTTGAGCTGAGTTCACACACGGGTTTCTAGCTCACGTTCAGTGAACTACACGTGCCTTATGTACAACGTTAAGGGGTTCGCTACACCACGGTGGAGCTTCTCGAGACGAGGGCCACGTACGTGTACATTTGACCCTGTAAGTATAGGCCGAATATAGATATATATATCGATATGTCCGAATGATCACATTCTATACGCCTGTTTGCATTATCCCATAAGCCACCGTGGCATTTTGAGATTGATTGCGGTTGATGAGACACTGAATTTTGAAACCGGTGCAGAGTTTTGCTTTGTTGTGAACCAATGCTGCTTAACCACAATAGAGGGTTTGTTGGGGTTAGAGCGCGTAAATATGTGTCGTTGAACCCGCCACCACCCGACACAGCCAACTAGTAAGGGTTGTCACGTGAACAGAACGTGGCCAATTCGTCACTAGTACAGCACACCGGTGTGTTGGAGAGCCAAGCCACAACATTTGCAATCTGAGTACCACGTTTCGCCAGTAATTACAACCAGCTTCATCAGGCGACAGCCAGATTTGGGAAGTCCACCCCTTTCGTTCCTTATATACAGGCGTAGATGTGGTGACCACGCTTCTGCGCTCTTGCACAATGTGGGGGGTGGGGGGGCGGGATTACTGAGTCAACGTGCATTATGCATGCGCATTATGCGAGCCCTTTGGTCTTGTCCTTCCTGTCCATTGTGTGGATTAAAATTCTGCTTAAGTTGTGCACTCCCAGAAGGCCATTTGGCTGATGGGACGTGTAAAAAAATGTTTCTATTTGTTCATGTGATGAGTTGTTACGTGTGCGTTTGTCTGCTTATTTAATTGTATTTACTGCTGTTCTACTGGGCGACGCTAGTGATGGGTGTGTCTTGTGCATTATCCAGATAATACTGCGTGTCTTATCTGCATCTGATGATTGTGTCACCGAGGCAAGAGGATGTCCAACTCAACGCTCTGTCCATAGCTCTGCCTCAATAATGATAACACGTGCAGTGGCTTGGTAAATAATCAGAGTTAAGCCTTGCCTGCAGTCAAGTTGCATAAAGAACGTGGAGACAGGTGAGAACGCCAAAAGGCGTGCTTCTCACCTTTTTGCGTTCTCTGGTCTGACCCTGGTGGTGAGACCAGGCCCTCAAGAAGGCTGTCTCTGGTGTAGGCCACTCAGTTTCAAAGACAACGCAAATATTATCAGAGCATGTTTTGTTTGCATGTTCACCACAAGTACCGTACTGTGTGTGGTTAATGCAGACGTGATTAGTTCAAAAGGGTTTCTATTCGGCGTTTGAACGTCTTAACACCACCTGCTTTATTGCCAGAAATTGTAATACCTCTTCTTATTTGTTTCATACAGGTGAATACTGGTGTGTCACTGAGTTCACACACGGGTTTCTAGCTCACGTTCAGTGAACTACACGTGCCTTATTACAACGTTAAGGGGTTCGCTACACCGCGGTGGAGCTTCTCAAGACGAGGGCCACGTACGTGTACATTTGACCCTGTAAGTATAGGCCGAATATAGATATATATCGATATGTCCAAACGATCACATTCTATACAATCACAACAGCAAATATAACTGATCGATAAGGTCAATGTAATTATTACAAATGACTACCATATCGATTGCATTTATAACGTGAAAAAATAGCAACACTTTGGACTGCCCTACTTAACAGAACCAGTCCAGATTCTGACTTCCAATGAACTCAACAGTCTGATGGGGTCTGAGAAATTGTATTCTTTTTTTGCTTGTGACCTTGAAATTAGGTCTTGTATAATTAACAGTTAAACACATCCGTGGAACTGAGTATGAGACATTCTACGGGACGACAGTGATGCAGCGTAGGGTTGGGTGATGTCTCGCTGGCCGGGACACCGTCTTCTCAGTCGCGGTGTGTCTCTGGGTGTTTTGTGGGCTGCTCGGGGCCGGAGAGACCAGGGACACCTCCGATTCGCGCGGTTGGCTACGTACGGTGTGAAAGAAATTCAACATACCCAGGGCACTCCCCGTGAGGCACCTTATTCTTGAATAAGCGTGGAGACTGGATACTAGGAAGAATACATGAGCAGATAATAGGATTTCGATTTAAAGCTTTCGTGACTGCAAGGATTCATCTTCTTTGGTTCTTTCGGTAAAGTCACGTAGAATGAGAATAAAATAGTAAATTAATAAAATAACACAATAAATAATCACCTGATGAAGGCCGCTTGTGTTGTGGCCGAAACGTCGTGAGAATTTTATTGTGTTATTTTATTAATTTCTTATTTTATTCTCATTCTACGTGACTTTACCGAAAGAACCAAAGAAGACAGATAATGGGATTTTCCACAGATCGATTTGGTGAACATGTAAAATAGAAACACCGATTACACAAGGGCAGAGAAGAGGCACTCAACTGTTCAAGAGACAATTTTAATATTCCGTGCAACCGGTTACTGAATTGTGCTGCAAGGAGTTCGTGAAGCAACAATCAACTCTTTCCATCAACGTCACCGCTTCACACAAACTAATTGCGAGTCAACCCGTTTATGCCACACCAAGCACTGGACAGTTTAATATACCAATGATAGGAATCAATAGAGTATGTGCTAAACACATCGTAATGGTAACATTCTTGACAATTTATGTTCCCATCAGGATGGTTAAGCTAAACAGTAGGCATGGAACAATATGTTGACTCAGCAATTGATATAGTTTATTACTGGTAGGAACGAAGTTGTAAACTGAGTGTACCAGCCTGCAATAGATTAATGTGTCCGTCCGTCCGTCCCCTTTCAAAAGCCCCATACTACCGTATACCGGGAAACAATTCCTCATTTTAAAATGCAATTGTTGTCATTTTTCGGCCCAGCCCTTAACGATTTTATGATACATTGCTCCAAAATGAGCAGATTTCAGTCAATAAGGACTTCACCATTCCATTCCTCTACCGAGGTTAATTTGTCTGAAGAACCCTCAACGATTTTGAGGGCAGAAAGGTGGGAAGACGCTCTCAATTTGCACAATTTTACGTAACAATGTCATAAAATTGCGCAAAATTCCAATGTTCCTACCAGCCCACCTTGCAGGGACCTGTTATAGGAGCCCTCCAGCCTTGAGAGGCCACTATATTAATCTGTTTAAAATCAATGGATGGCCATTGTATATCAGACCATTTTTTATTTTTGAAATTTTAAATTGTAAAAAACTTCATAATTATTTATGCATATTTAAAGTTCGATACAGTGAATTTAATATTAGACGATGAAAACTCAGCATATATCCTATAATTCCTTGGCAATAATTTTCTGCCTCTGAACGGTTTCTTTTTTCCTGGGTGTACCACTGGGCCACGTGGCACCCCTCACCCCCCGTGACGTGTCACGGCTCCAGGGTCTCTGACGAGGTGCTCATTATCACTCCCCGCATCCGCTCCTCGTACAGCTCGTCAAAGTGCTCGCTCTGAGCCACCGTGAACTGAGTCTTCCAGTCGCCGACCACTCCTGCCGAAACACAGACGTGGGGGCAAGGTCATTTCTATGTTGTTATTATTTACACTACCGAGAAAATCCACATGGAGCCACGAGGCAATTTTTTCGATCGAGGTTTTGCTACGTTGGGATGTTTGGTCAATGTTGAACTTCTTTCGTACCGGTACGTAGCCAACCGTGCTAATTGGAGGTGCGGGAATAATAACATTCATGAGTGTTTGGATTTGTGTGGGTGGAAACCGGATAACATACACCGTGTATGTGAGAGTACGATATTCAGAGTTCCACACAGATGACACATTGTGATACAGACACAAAGACGGGTACGGAGATGGAGAGAAATGTACAAAGAGATCGACGTGGAAACGTGAGATAGGCACAGAGAAAGGTTGAGAGAAAGAGATAGAAACAGACATACACAAAGAAACACGCGGAGACAATCAAACACAATACGTAATTATGTATGTTGAACTTCTTTCGCACCGTACGTAGCCAACCGTGTTAATCGGAGGTGCGAATAGGGATGTCTGATAATAATATTATGGCTGCCTCAAAAGAAGCGTGGGCCCTATGCAAAGACACAGCATTACAGACCGCTCTGCACACGGCACGCACCCTTGCGCATGAAGCTGCCGTGCTTGTGGTCGATCCACTGCTCGGGGACGAGCGAGTAGTTGACCATGCGGCTCTCCTTCATGCTGGAGAAGCGGCAGTGGGCGGCGACAACCTCCGTGAGCCGGTCGCTCGCCTCCCGGCCCACGAAGTGGCACAGTCGGCGCACGACCCCCTCCAAGTCCTGCGCTCTCCCAATTGCCGCCGCGAACGGAACGGGAGCGATAAGTGGCGTGGGGCGCTTGGCGTGGGCCCACGGTGAGAGGAATGAGTTGGGGGGGGGGGGTGGAGACCTTTTCAATTTCCCCTTCTCTCGGTCACCCGCCGCTTGGGTTCCTCCACAGCCACTTGGGCCCTGGTGCCGTTGCACCGCCCGCGCACTCGATAGACGTCACAATCTCACCACGTAACCACTACAGTTGGTATTCGAAACATTCTTACAGCGCAGGGCTATCGCGAAGGCACCGTGCTCCACAGGGGGCGACGTTGCTCTGTGCAATCCCATTTTGGAGTCATCTTTTGGCGGAATTTTCCTAATTTGGACCATGACCACGGCGCACGCGGCCTGCTCTGTTTCAAATCACGTCCACCGGGATCCCTTCACGTCCGCCGAAGCAGTCGTCGGCGTAGCACTGATGGTTAATACACGTGCAGCATTAACCAGGGCGGCCGCACCGTGAAACTGTAGCAAACCCCGCTGCTGCTGTCGAGGCCACCGTGACCCTACGACCTCCACAAGTCTCATGTCGTGGGTCGGGGCTCGCAGGCGCCTGGCAGTGATCGTCGTCGTCATGCTCACCCGGTGCAGGTCCTCGTAGGACACGAGGAAGAGGTCCACCTTGTCTCGGTTCTCAAGCCAGCCCCTGACGTGCTCGAACCAGGAGCCAAACAGCACTGCGGGAACGCCGGGACCACCGCGCCTGAAGTCAACTACAACTGTGATTGTGCAAATTTCGATTTAAAGCTTTCGTGACTGCAATGATTCATCTTCTTTGGTTCTTTCGGTAAAGTCACGTAGAATGATAATAAAATAATAAATTGATAAAATAAAATAACACAATACTATTCTCACGACGTTTCGGCCACAACACAAGCGGCCTTCATCAGGTGAAGGGGGCGAGACTGTCTGGTAGGACAGCGCTGGAGTGAGAGAGCCACGTTCAGATACGGCCTTTAAGCTGTGTGAGAGGAACAAAGCGCCTTGACAAAGGAATTAGCATATAATTTAGCATTGAAATGGCTGAATGATTCCTCTCACACAGCTTAAAGGCCGTATCTGAACGTGGCTCTTTCACTCCAGCGCTGTCCTACCAGACAGTCTCGCCCCCTTCACCTGATGAAGGCCGCTTGTGTTGTGGCCGAAACGTCGTGAGAATATTATTGTGTTATTTTATTTTATCAATTTATTATTTTATTATCATTCTACGTGACTTTACCGAAAGAACCAAAGAAGATGTGATTGTGCAATTCTCATGAATTTCAATCGCAATTAATATCTATTTTGCAGTTGCAAGAACAGTAAGAGAGGTCTTGCAGCCGGACCAACATCAGCAGCAAGTGGACTCAACCGGTCCTTGGCCTCCCCGAGAATATGACTCAGCCTCAACCGAATACTCGGTGCGGTGTGAAAACGTCAGCACTCGGGAAGACAAGGGTTGGCCGAACGTGGTCCTGGCCACACCAGCCCCTCGCGCACCACGCCGGCATTCACATGTGCTCACATACAGCACTTTCCTCAGCAGTCTGTGTAGGCTATACGGGGGGGTCTTTGTCTTTGTATGTCTAAGTGACGTCGTGGGGGGCGGGGGGGTGGAGGGAAGGACTTTTCTTCTTTGGTGTTCGGGGTGCAACGATTACATGAATGTGGCCCACGACCGACCCTCCTCTCTACCTTTGCCTTTACAGAACTTGTCGTAGAATTCCTCCCAGGTGCCGGGCTCCTCCAGGAAGTGGGCGATCTTGTGGAAGTTGTAGGAGGACACGAGGATGTCCCTGGGGTTCCTCGCCATATAAATGACCTTTCCCCAGACAAGGACACGGGTCGACCGTCAGTGAGGTTGCCACGATATGACGATGCTGTTTATAGCCTCGTCCACCGGCCATGCGATCATCCCTTCTAGCGACGTGCACTTTTCCTGACAAGTCATTATGATATATTGAACATCTCCGTGTAATTGCGAGCATGCACTTCTCCATTATTCTTTCTGCACCCTTTCAGCTTTTGTCCCGTGAGTTTATTTATTTATTTTCACAGCAAGTAATGCTGTACACACTCGTGAATAACCTTGCATCTTTAAGACTGCAAGGTCTGAACTCGAATATAAACGCGAGCAAAGCTAAAGGCACGTACGACAAAGTTCGCTCGGAACATTCGGGATTATCTGTCAGAAGGACACAAAGTGGAAATCTGCAACAGACCGAGGGCAGCCAGTCATGGAGGCGACCCCCCCCCCCACCCCCCCCCCCCGTCAACACACCTTGGCCTTGGCTTGGCCGATCTCACGTGGTGCCAGCTGGAAGGGCAGGTGCGTGGTGATGAGGCGGGGAGAGGCGCGATGCTCCAGGTGCTTCCTGCCCGTGTCCTGCTCCAGCCAGGGAACCCGTTCCCAATTGGGCACCGTCTGCACGGGGCCCAGGTCCCCGTCGCTATACACCAGGGTCACGATCTCCTGCATCCACGTCGTGCCTGTGCCGTGCCGCGCGCGCGGGGAAATGTTGTTGCAGCGTCGCCGCGATATCGTTTTACCACGATGCGGTACGATTCCAGTTGTCACGACATGAGGATTATCGCTATATCCGTTTAGCGTAACTTTGTGATTGTTTTGGTATTATTTGTTTATTTTTGTGTGCCTTGCTGCACTGCCAGTATGAGGTGCGGATTACTGTAAAATGTATTATCGAACTGTTGTGCACCTCCATTATGCTTGCGACGAGTTTTCTAATCATCTCCCACGTTACAACCTGTACAGAACATAGTATCGCCAAATTGCGGCAACTCTGCAACGTGCATGTCCATGTAAGGCCCCATTTGCCAATCCAGGGCCGGTCCATGCCGAGTGGTTTGTGCGGGGTTAGTCGACTACGTTTGGCCAGTACGGGTTCGTGAAGGGGCGCAGCATAGATGTAGGAGCATAGAATCACGGTACAGCCACGGGATTTCTTCCGTGTGGGCACCATTCACCTGTACACGAGTACAGGTGAATGATGTCCACACCTGTACACTAGCACAGGTGAATGGTGCTCAAACACACCTGTACACAAGCACAGGTGAATGGTGCTCACACACCTGTACACTAGTACAGGTGAATGATGTCCACACACGTGTACACTAGTACAGGTGAATGATGTCCACACACGTGTACACTAGCACAGGTGAATGATGTCCACACACGTGTACACTGGCACAGGTGAATGATGCCCACACACGTGTACACTGGCACAGGTGAATGGTGCTCACACACACCTGTACACTAGCACAGGTGAATGGTGCTCACACACCTGTACACAAGCACAGGTGAATGATGCCCACACACGTGTACACTAGTACAGGTGAATGATGTCCACACACGTATACACTAGCACAGGTGAATGATGTCCACACACGTGTACACTGGCACAGGTGAATGATACCCACACACACCTTTACACTAGTACAGGTGAATGATGTCCACACAAGTGTACACTGGCACAGGTGAATGGTGCTCACACACACTTGTACACTAGTACAGGTGAATGATGCCCACACACCTGTACACTGGCACAGGTGAATGATGTCCACACACGTGTACACTAGTACAGGTGAATGATGTCCACGCACGTGTACACTAGCACAGGTGAATGATGCCCACACACGTGTACACTAGCACAGGTGATTGATGCCCACACACCTTTACACAAGCACAGGTGAATGATGCCCACACACGTGTACACTAGTACAGGTGAATGATGTCCACGCACGTGTACACTGGCACAGGTGAATGATGCCCACACACACCTGTATTCTCGTACAGGTGAATGATGCCCACACACGTGTACACTGGCACAGGTGATTGATGCCCACACATCTGTATACTAGTACAGGTGAATGATGTCCACACACGTGTACACTAGCACAGGTGATTGATGCCCACACACACCTCTGCACTAACACAGGTAAAAGAATCTCCCACCAGCAACAACAGCCGCCAATCTCCAACTCGGTGACGGCGACATCAGCGCTTGTGCCAGGCAAGGTGCACGTGTGTACAGACAGTGGCGTAGTAACGACGCTATCAGCTCAGGTGGTGCGGCAATCGGTAAGGTGGGACCCCAATATTTGATTTGTCTCGTACAGTCGCACCTCGGCTATTACATATCGTCGCGATATATAGCCTAAAAAAATAAGACATAGAACGTAAATGAAGCAATTTTCAGAAAAAATATAATTTAAACCGCGTTTTAAACAAGTGGTTGGTTCTTTGACACTGTAGTTGAAAACAAATCTCACGGTGGTTGTCAAGGGGACACCCAACCCGTAGCTTTGGCCACCAGCGGTCAGGGGCAGGGCACCCCACTGCCTGCCCTGCGCACGTCACGCCGCTGCGTGGAGCGACGGGGCGAGGGACGCGCACCTGATTTGGGGTAGGTGACCACGAAGAGGTCATCGGGGCGCACGGGGAACTCGCGCGCGTAGCCCAGGGTCTCGGCGCTGTGGATGTTGCTGGGGAACAGAACCCCGCTGTACACAAACATGGCTGTCCTCGGCGACTCGTGCTGAGCCTCCACCACGCCGTTGTGCTGCTCCTGCTGCTGCTCCTGCTGCTCCTGCTGCTGCTCCCCCGCCATAGCTGCCCTTCGTTACTGCTCCCTGTGCTGGGAAAGGGAGCGAGGCGTGGGCGTTGAGGAATAACAGTGCACACACCACCATCATCATCATCAGACTATGCGAATTGATTAATTTCAATGAATGTTGAGTTAAATCGTGGCGTTAGAATCATGAGCTTGATTTTCTGTTTGTCTATAAGGATATGAATTTGATTGGGCAAACCGGAGCGTATCACTCGATTTACGAACGTTCGGTTTACGGAATTTCGCGTGAACGCGATTGACAAATCATGGACACTTTTCAATGAACGAAATAATTTTTTTCCGCGTGAACGAAATGCCACAGCGGCACGCGCCACGAGGCCATCAAACGAGGAGCCACCCCAGAGGCTGGGGCAGCATCCTTCCACGATAGCGTCACGGAGTCCCTAACAGTGCAACGCTGGCGTCTCCACGTGTCCAGGCATTCCGACGTGCAGATTTTTACGGTGAGTTCCCTGAAAAGGATAATTAATTTAATTTTAAATAAATTAAAATTCGATCATTTTAACATGTATCCTCTTCTTTGGTTCTTTCGGTAAAGTCACGTAGAATGAGAATAAAAGAATAAATTGATCAAATAAAATAACACAATAATATTCTCACGACGTTTTATTATTATTATTTATTCTCATTCTATGTGACTTTACCGAAAGAACCAAAGAAGATGAATCATTGCAGTCACGAAAGCTTTAAATCGAAACATGTATCCTCTTTGTTATTGTGGTGTGAAAAGCGACAGAGGTGTGTACATTTTTCTAAACACATCCTTTTTTTTACTTTCAGAAAATTAATGGGGAAAAGCCATCACGCGTTTACCAAATTTCGTGCTTACGCGTGAATTTTAAAGAACGCGCCCCCTTCGTAGAGCGAGGGGTACTGGATATGTGACGTCACGAATCCCAGCGCCCCGCGAGCTGCGAGCGCCTCGCGCCACCGGCCGAGGGCTGTGGATGGAGGAGCGGTGGCGGAGCGGTGAGCGCGCTGCTGCTACGAACCCGGCCACCTGAATTCGATTCGCGCTCACGGCGACAATCACCGGTGACGATTATCTTAACCGGTCCTGGCCCTCCCCTAGGTCGATTCAGCCTTAACTGAGTACCTGGTGCGGTTAGTAAACATCGTCACTGGGGAGACAAAGGCGGCCGGGCGTGGTGCTGGCCACCCATCCCCTCGCGTGCCGTGCCAGCCTTCATAGGTGCTCGCTAACAGCACTTGCCCCTACAGTCTGTTAAGGGTATACGGGGGTTCTTTGTGGTTCTGTGAGTGTGGGTGAATCTTGATTTGAAGCTTTCGTGCCTGCATACATCCATACTCTCTGGTTCTTTCAAGCGTCCTCACCTGAAGACAGACGCTTGTGTTGCGACCGAAAACTCGTGTTTTATTTTATTATTTTTTCTTCTTTCTACGTGACTTTACCGAAAGAGAGTATGAGTGTGGGTGGGTAAGTCGATGATTGTGTGGGTGTGTGAGTTTATGGAGGTGCAGATGGGTGGATGGGTAAGTTAATGTTTGTGTGGGTGGGTGAGTGGATGATTGTGTGGGTGGGTGGGTTTATGGAGGTGTGGATGGGGGAGTGAATGGTTGTGTGGGTGGGTAAGTGGATGGTTGTGTGGAAAGGTGAGTGGATGATTGTGTGGGTCAGTTTATGGAGGTGTGGATTGGGGAGTGAATGGTTGTGTGGATGGGTGAGTGGATGGTTGTAAGGGTGGGTGAGTTGACGGGTGGATACATGTGATGTGTGGATAGTAAATGGTTTGCCATTCTGTTCATTAATACTTTTCAACAATTTTGCTTGCATGCTAAATTAAAGTACAGTAATTTTTCCGCAATGTTTCACATTGTATTTCCTCCTTTTTTGTTTGGTAGTGGCACAAACATTTCTCGCCTCCAATGCCTAGGCGATTAGTTCCTTTCTTATATTCTCTTGAATCTGTGTGCATTATATCAACTTCCGTTTCTCCACCTACTGCCAGAAACGCAGTGTAACTGCTGGCATCGTTGAAGCTCTCCTGGTATCTCTATCTCTGCTCGTATTTCTTTATCTCTTCTGGAATGTGTCTATCTCTCCTGGTATCTCTATCTCTGCTCGTATTTCCTTATCTCTTCTGGAATGTGTCTATCTCTGCTGGTATCTCTGTAACTCTGCTCGTATTTCCTTATCTCTTCTGGAATGTGTCTATCTCTGCTGGTATCTCTATTTCTGCTCATATTTCCTTATCTCTTCTGGAAAGTGTCTATCTCTGCTGGTATCTCTGTAACTCTGCTCGTATTTCCTTATCTCTTCTGGAATGTGTCTATCTCTGCTGGTATCTCTATCTCTGCTCGTATTTCCTTATCTCTTCTGGAATGTGTCTATCTCTGCTGGTATCTCTATCTCTGCTCGTATTTCCTTATCTCTTCTGGAAAGTGTCTATCTCTGCTGGTATCTCTATCTCTGCTCGTATTTCCTTACCTCTTCTGGAATGTGTCTATCTCTGCTGGTATCTCTGTAACTCTGCTGATGTCTCTGTATGTCTACTGGTAACTCTGCTTGTATCTCTATCTCTGCTGGTATCAATGTATCTCTGCTGAGTCTGGTGCTTTCCCGTACCCTTTGGGGTCCCTTTTTCCACTCAGGTATCGCTGCTTCTGTTTCTCGTGGTTGATAAACAAAAACACACGGCCAGAACAACTGTGGTTCTGCACTCATCCCTCCCGCCCCAACCTTCACGAACCGTACTGACCCGGCTGGTGAAGTATGGTCAAACATCACGGCCCCCGCATGTACATACATTACCCGGGAATGCACTGAGAACGTCGCATCTCGGAAGCTAAGCAGGGGCTTAACCTGACAGAGGAGGTGAAGCGGGGGAAGGTAAAAGCGGGAACGAGGAAGTACGAGATTGATCTTAACACAAGGTGCACATGCACCCCAGGTGAACATTCGCACGAGATTTATCTTAACACAAGGTGCACATGCACCCCGGGTGGACATGAACACGAGGTGCACATGCACCCCAGGTGAACATTCGCACGAGATTTATCTTAACACAAGGTGCACATGCACCCCGGGTGGACATGAACACGAGGTACACATGAACCCCAGGTGAGCATTCGCACGAGATTGATCTTAACACGAGGTGCACATGCATCCCAGGTGAACATTTGCACGAGATTGATTTTAACACGAGGTGCACATGCACCCCGGGTGGACATGAACACGAGGTGCACATGAACCCCAGGTGAACATTCTCACGAGATTGATCGTAACACGAGGTGGACATGAACCCCGGGTGTACATCCACACCGGGTGTGGAGGCCATGTGTGCGAATACCTGCAGGAGAGGTCCCTCCCGGCTCACGGTCTCCGACTCAGTGGCGCTTCCCTCCGCTCCCTTCTGCTCCCTCTACCTCCTCGCTCCGGACCACAACTCATGGCATGCAGGGGGCGGCGAAGTCGGTGGGGGGGGGGGGGGTTCACGCTGAGCCCTGGGGGGGTGCGATAAGGAGACCCGCAAAAACCGCGGTTTCCGATTTCGGAATAGGGAAGGCGACGCGTCACGAACACGCGAACACCGCAACCTTCTGACTGCGCAGAAAAATGCGCGCACGCCCGCGATGCGCGGTCACTGCTGATGCGGCAGATTCGCCCGCTACGGCGGTGCCAGGGGGTCTGCTGATTCCCATCGTCGACTCGATGCAGAGGCGGGCCCGCTCGACGTGACCGAGTGGTTGGCGGCGGCGGTGCGGTTCGTGCGTTCCAAACGGACCCGGCGCGATCGGACCGGTCAGGTCGACGCATCGACCGACGACTTCGTTGTGGGTCGGTGACCCGGGCCTCCTATCCCACTGAGACGAGAGACTCCCCTCTCGGCTTGCGAAACATTCCCCCGCCCCCCCGTGCCTCTTTAGCCACCACCACCACCACGAGAGAGAGAAGACGACGATCATGATGATGATGATGCAACACAGTGTTCTGCTTGAGCTTCCGGCCACGAAGCGCAACCCTGCCTCGACGGGGGAGCACAAACACAGCACGACGCGACCCCTTTGTGGCTGAGTCGACATCGAGGGTAGCCCAGGACGGGTTCGGTTTGAAGTTGGGCCATTTTGGGTCACTTGGCCGTGTGGTCCACGAGGACATCAATTTGTATATACAAGGTGCTTCAAATTTGTTTTAACACTTCTGAGAATTTGCAACAACACCACGTGACATGTGCTGCCTCCTCTGGGCTCTGGAGACCGCCCGGAGAAGATTCCAGGTCACGTGATAACGATGGCGAACACGTGGGGGGAGACTCTTGGACTCTTTGAAGCTACTAACATGACAATTGTTATCATGTTACAGCGTAGTATTACCCGTTCGTTTTTCCATCAAAAACGACAGTCCCATGTAAGTGTTAACATTAATTTGAAGCCCCCTGTATTTATCATTAGACCTCCTTTGCCAGTACCAAATTATAATAATAATAGGGTTTTTTTCCCCTAATGGTGTAGATGCTTACCCCGAGCCCTCATTACTTTGATGGTACATTGTCTTTGAGCTATACGCCTTTTGGCGTCCTCTGGTCTCGCACCAATTGAGACGAGGCTCAAAAGAAAGCCGTCTCTGATCTGGACCAATCAGTTTCAAGGACAATGCATATATTATCAGTGTGTTTTTTTGTTTACATTTTGACCACAAGATTTGTGGTTAATGCACACATGCTTCCTTATAAAAAAGGTTTCAGTTTTGTTGCCAGAGAAAAGTGGAAAACCCCCTATTATTACCCTGTATACATGCACGTACATTTTACAAAAGACAAAAGTTTCCCCGCATGGCCTGAACAGACTGTAGGAGCGAGTGCTGCTGGCGAGCACCTATGAAGGTCGGCACGACACACGAGGGGCTGGGTGGGTGGCCAGCACCACGCCCGCACCAGGTACTCATTTGAGGCCGAGTCGACCTAGGAGAGGTCCAGGACCGGAACGTGAGCGATTATCGAACCGGGCGTCGCCGGGCATTCGTAACGCAACGTGCTGACCGTTGTACTGCAACAACAGCCGCCATTCGCAACTAAGCCGTGACGTCACGACGGCGCTTGTGCCAGGCTTGGTGCACTTTAAGGTCACGTGAAGTGTCGAACGCCCGCTGGCAGGAGGCCACGGGACAGACTCATGTGCCATGGGTTGACTGGACTGAGATGGCTTGCCGATACACCACCTGCGCCCACTACTCTACCAACTACACACTGCCCACAGACACTTCGATCACGACACCACCACAGTCTTCCTTGATCACTCGAGAGTCCACGTGAGGCTGTGGACACGAGGGAGAGCCGGGTGAGACGGGGTGCACGCAGGCACAGAGCCACGTTGCGGTCCCTGGTGTTTTTATTTCGCTGCCTCTTGACCGTTTCCGTGAGTGGACTCGTTTCTGCAATGGGGAGGTGAGGGAAGGGGGAATGTTTTGTGTGGGGCGACTATTGTTCCGTTTTTTTTCATCTCAATTAAGTAATTGGCCTTGTCATTTATTGAACTTGGCAAATCTCCACCGTGACACACACACACACACGACGGTTACCCGTACACACACACGCGGGATTGTTAACGTCCATTGCGAGTGAGGCAGAGGGCGCATAGCACGTTATGGTTATTACACACCGCAGTATTTACCAGGGCTTCCTGCCGGGTTACAACCGCGAGGCTCCGTTGAAGCTCCTGCCGGGTCTGTGCCGAGCGTCGCGGTGGTTTCCGCTATCAATGCTCTCACGTTGCTGTTCCTTTAAACGCAGCTGCCAAGCACAGGCCCTCAAGGCTCAAACCATGGAGCGGTCAGCAACAAACAGCACTATCAAAGTTGAACTACGAGTTAACACGCTTCTTGAATTGAGTGCAAGGTTGTTATTATTATTATAACAGCTCGAGAAAAGAGATAATGGGAGGTTATTGCAAAGTGGAACAGTGCGAGGGAAGAAGCTGAAAAGAGAAGTGTGAGGACCTGCAGTGTGGTGATGGAATGGATGAGTGTGTGGGTGAGTGGTTGCGTAACTGAGTGACGTTGTGGGTGAGTGGTTGCGTAGGTGAGTGACGGTGTGGGTGAGTGGTGGCGTAGTTGAGTGAGGGTGTGGGTGAGTGGGTGCGTAGGTGAGTGACCGTGTGAGTGAGTGGTTGCGTGGGTGAGTGAGGGTGTGGGTGAGTAGGTGTTGTGGTGACCTACAGTGTGGTGATGGAATGGATCAGTGTGTGGGTGAATGGGTGCGTGGGTGAGTGATGGTTGCGTGGGTGAGTGAGGGTGTGGGTGAGTGGTTGCGTGGATGAGTGACGGTGTGGGTGAGTGAATGTGTGGGTGAGTGAGTGGTTGCGTGGGTGAGTGAGTGTGTGGGTGAGTGGTTGCGTGGGTGAGTGAGGGTGTGGGTGAGTAGGTGAGTGTGTGCTGTGGTGACCTGCAGTGAGGTGGTTGAACACGGTATGGATTGAGATTAACCAACGTGTGGTCGACCGAGTTCTCAACATGGGTGAAGGCATCAACCAGTGAAGATCACGGCAGCAGTGGTCGCGGTAGTAGCGGTAGAATAGTGATGAGGAGGCGACCGAGCGCCAGTGAGTGACTGGAGTGAATCAGTGGGTGCTGGATCATGAAGTCGTGAGATTAACAAGTGTTAGTGGAGACGCACGTGGCAAATGAAATGTTGGGTACGCGGACGTCGTGGCGGGCGAGAGGAGCCCGATGCTTGTATTTCACTGCGAGTGGATGAGGGCTTGGTTGTGCTTGCCACCGTTGACCGTTCCCATTCTCCGGCAGACGAACGAGAGACATCGCCCCGTCGTGCAAGCCGTTCTTCTGCAGCTCCCTTGCGCTGCGTCACCTCGGCCTCTCCGGCACCAAGCTGCCAGCCGAGGCCGTCAAGTGAGGATTCGCGTGCACGGCCCAGACTCGCGCCCGTGGGTGCCATTTACCAAATGTCCGGCGGGCGGGCAAAACGACAGATTTCGAGGCTTTTTCTGGAGCCCGCACTGAGCAGCGTGGTGAAGTATGGTCACACGGGGGCCCCGGTGAGCGACACGCGGAGAGGAGGCGTCCAAACAACGCTGCCGATGGAAATCGCTGCCAGAAGACATCGCGCGCGGCCAATTTGGGGGGGGGGGGAGGGGGGGTGTAAAGAAAATACGTTTTGTGTTAATTCACGTGGAGAGACGTACACGAGAAGGATGCGTCGTCGTCTCCGTCGAATGTATCTGTTTTCATGCAAATATTGGATTTGACAAATCACTGAAAATCATCGACCCGTGCTTGACCACACAGCACGTGGGGAGGGAGCCGGGGGGTTTGACGCCTTCGGGAGGCAGGATTGAGGTGCCAGCATTTTCGAAGGAGCTCGAACGACCATCACGAAACAAGCGGTAGAGTCCAGCCATTTGTTTCGCGTCGATTAATCGACCCAGTCGACGAATCGCCTCTGCTGCCAGGTTTGCCTGGTGCCAAACTTGTGCTGTGCTAGCCAAGAGCCCTCCACGCAATCACTCTGGAGACCATTGAGGGTCAACCACAGCCAATTGCACGGAACGCACTTGCGGGTTCTGTTGAATGCTTCGCGTGAGAGCTCAGCTGGGCATAACCTTGAAGAGGGCTTCTCTGACTCTCTGGAGAAGAGCCATTTACCATTGTAACCAACAAGGACTGAGAGCAGAGGTGGGGGCAGAGAGGGCCCAGGGCACGCCACCACCTGCCCCACCTGCCCCACATCACCACGTACGCGCCTCCAGCAACAGCCACTCCAGGCCCCGGGGAGACAGCGCGACAGGACGAGGGTAGCGACAAGTACGGGAGGCAGTGTCTTGAGCTGTCTGTGTGGGAAGCTGTCTGTGTGGGAAGCTGTCTGTACAGGGAGCCGTCTGTTTATGGGAGCTGTCTGCATTGGAGGCTGTCTCTGTGGGGAGCTGTCTGCCCCAGTAACTGTCTGCCTCGGGGGTTGTCTGTGTGAAGAGCTGTCTAGTGAACTGTCTGTATCGGTAGCTGTTTATATAGACAGCTGTCTGCCTAGGGGCTGGCTGTGTGGGGAGCTGTCCGCTGGCATGGAGGAGCTGCTGCTGCTGCTGCTGTGCGCGCTGGGCTCGGTGCTGGCGCCGTGCCCGTGCCGTGAGTGCTGGAGGGACTACGTGAGTCACGGGAGCGTCACACACACACACCCAGCGACACACACACACACACTGTGACACACAATCAGTGTCACACACAAAATACGTGAGTGCTGGAGGGACTACGTGAGTCACGGGAGCGTCACACACACACCCAGCGACACACACACACTGTGACACACAATCAGTGTCACACACACACAATACGTGAGTGCTGGAGGGACTACGTGAGTCACGGGAGCGTCACACACACCCAGCGACACACACACACTGTGACACACAATCAGTGTCACACACACACAATACGTGAGTGCTGGAGGGACTACGTGAGTCACGGGAGCGTCACACACACCCAGCGACACACACACACACTGTGACACACAATCAGTGTCACACACACACAATACGTGAGTGCTGGAGGGACTACGTGAGTCACGGGAGCGTCACACACACCCAGCGACACACACACACTGTGACACACAATCAGTGTCACACACACAATACGTGAGTGCTGGAGGGACTACGTGAGTCACGGGAGCGTCACACACACCCAGCGACACACACACACACACACTGTGACACACAATCAGTGTCACACACAAAATACGAGAGTGCTGGAGGGACTACGTGAGTCACGGGAGCGTCACACACACACCCAGCGACACACACACACTGTGACACACAATCAGTGTCACACACACAATACGTGAGTGCTGGAGGGACTACGTGAGTCACGGGAGCGTCACACACACACCCAGCGACACACACACACTGTGACACACAATCAGTGTCACACACACAATACGTGAGTGCTGGAGGGACTACGTGAGTCACGGGAGCTTCACACACACCCAGCGACACACACACACTGTGACACACAATCAGTGTCACACACACACAATACGTGAGTGCTGGAGGGACTACGTGAGTCACGGGAGCGTCACACACATCCAGCGACACACACACACTGTGACGCACAATCAGTGTCACACACAAAATACTAAGATCCCCCGGGATAGCCTTAACAGCATCTATAAAGCCCAGCACGGCACACGAGGGGGTCAAGCACCACGCCTGGCCACCTTTGTCTCCCAAGTGGCGATTGTTTATACATCGCACCAGGTACTCATTTGAGGCTGAGTCGACCTAGGGGATGCCCAGAACCGGTGCAGATAATCGCTGTCACCGGTGTTGGCCGTGAGCAGGAAGCGATCTCGGGTCGCTGGGTTATAGACGCACACACAGCCTACAACAGTGACATGAGGCGTATTTGTACTGACACATCGGCACGGTGACATACAAAGATAAAGGCGGCCAGAATAGCCTGTAACAAGCTGTAGGGGCAAGTGCTGTTAGCGAGTAGCGCCTATGAAGACCGCCACGGCACACGAGGGGGTGGGTGGCCAGCACCACGCCCGGCCGCCTTTGTCTCCCCAGTAGCGATGTTTACATGCCACACCAGGTACTCATTTAAAGCTTAGTCGACCTAGGGGAGGCCCAAGATCGGTTCAGATAATTGTCATCACTGGTGTTGGCCGTGAGCAGGAATCATACAAATTATTCATGCACACACTGATGCACACACTAGGACCCACCCAATCCTTAACCATGAGTATAGGGTTATCCAAATCTCCAACACCATCTTTAACCCGAACTTCTAACCTTATCCCTATCTCGAATCCGTTGCAGGACCTTCAGTCAGATTGTAAAGGTAGATTAACATGTTTTATTCATAGTATGCACTTTATAAAAATCGTCCACTCGCGTGCAATGTATAACATTCCTCCAAAAACGATTATTCAGCAACAAATTATGTGCGTGCTACATCGCCTTTATATATGGGCTTGATGTTCGTTACGTTCAAAAATGGAGAACATAATTAAAAAACGTATAGATATAAACACACTGAATTTTGATTTAAAGCTTTCAGTAAAGTCACGTAGAAGGGAAACAATACAATAATTAATATTTTAATGAAAGTGAAATAATTTACATTTGTATTATTTTTAAAATTGTTTTCTTGTTTCCCTTCTACGTGACTTTACCGAAAATAATTTATATTTTTGTTATTTTCTTGTTTCCCTTCTGCGTGACTTACCGAAAGAACCAAGAATATAAACACACTGGCCAATAACGTGCCACGATAGAGTATCGCGGCCGCAGAGAGGTCTCCAATTGCAGTGGATACAGAATTACCACAGAATGTGCACACCCAGCAATAAGCCATTAATTAAATCTGATTTTGTTTTTATAAAGGAACCCTGCCGAAACAGGGCAACGAAAAATTGGTTTCAGTCTCCTTGGATTGTTCCTCTCCACGGAAATCTTTAGTAAAAGGCGAAAGATTTATTCGCTTTGAAGAGAAACCAGAGTTAGCTTTTAGACCCCCACACGTGGGTACATATACCACCACGCCCTCTCTTTATCCTATGGGTCCCTTACTTCGCTGACTAACATTTCGTTTTCTTTTAATAATACATAAACACAGTGCGATATAAATTCGGATTAGTGTTCACTTGACGGATATTCATATCTATACAAATATTATTAACGTAAAAAGAAAACAGTATACATTCGTGCGGCACTGCATTTTTGTTGTGCATAAATTAGACGATTGGACCAATGGCGGACGGAAGTGACGTAAGAGCCAGAGACCTTCGATAGCTTTGAGAAAATGAAAACTGTGTCGGAAAAAAAATATTAAATACGAAACAATCCTTTAATTTTTTTTTAGCGAAGGAATGTCTTGCTATGTTTCATTTCTGATGAAGTATATAAAATGTAAAATTTTTCGGCAATACTGCACCGTACCGTATATGTAAAAGGGGCCGTCCATAAATGACGTCACGCACCTAGGGGGGGGGTCAGACATTGTGACGATGTGTGACGAGGAGGGGGGGTGAGAAATGTGACGTCATATCAAAATGCACAACTTTAAATAAATATAGACAACACGTTCTACATATATTCTTGGTTCTTTCGGTAAAGTCACGTTGAAGGGAAAAATAATAATAAAAAATATATAAAACAATAAAATTAAATATATATAAAACAACAATTGTGAGAATTTTATTGTTTTATATATATTTTATTATTTCATTGTTTCCCTTCAACGTGACTTTACCGAAAGAACCAAGAATATGAATCACTGCAGTCACGAAAGCTTTGAATCAAAACGTTCTACTTAATTAAATAGACTTTCTAATAAATGTTTTCTCCTACAACATCAGAGTGTAGCGCCACATTAAATACGCACTACAATGACTATAGTTTAAAGCGATTTGAAGCATGTGTTTTAATTTTATGGACGGCCCCAAACGTTCTCCGCATAATCCTCAACATTTTCCGGCAAAACGTTAATCGACGTACGTTGATGCGTCTTCAATCGTCGGCCAAACGTAAGAAATCATCAAATCAAGAGGTTATTGAAACATGTTCAGCCGTCCAACACAAACATTATGAATATTCTGTATTCGTGTGAGCGATCGATCGATTGCTCTGGTGTGGCGGACGCAGACCCATCGCAATCGATCGCACAATCGAAAATAAATATATAACGTTGCCCGCTTGTTTCATGTTGTCGATTTAGCAAGCACACGCTGTAACAAATCTAAAACATTGTATGCATTTGTACATGTTTGATAAACGAACACGTTTAATACCGACTGACCCGATTTAATGGTGTCAATAATTGAGGATACATTACACAGGGTTATAAAATACAGGGGAGGGGGCTTCAAAAAAATGTGAACAGTTCCGAGAATTTGCAACAACACCACGTGACATGTGCTGCCTCCTCTGGGCTCTGGAGACCGCCTGGAGAAGATTTCAGGCCACGTGACAACGATGGCGAACACGTGGGGGGGAGACTCTTTGAAGATATTAACAAGACAATTGTTATAACGTTACAGCGTAGTATTATCCGTTCATTTTCCCATCAAAAACGAAAGTACCATATAAGTGTAAACATTTTTTGAAGCACCGTTTATATTGTCGCGGTGGGGTTCGCTTTGTCCCTCACATTAGGAATCGCGGGTGCATATAATTAATTTTAATCATAATTGCAAACTAACGAACATAAATAAAGCTGTCCACTTTGAGGGGACGTTGTCCCCCCGTGCCGCCCCCCCCCCTAAGCTTCACCCATATATAGTAATCAAACAGTAACAAATATAATGCCATATCTAACCCTCACCAAAATCCTAATCCCAATCCTAGCCTAATTAAAGCCATCCATATCCCTTAACCAATTCCTGACCCCTATCCTTACTAACCCCTTATTCCTGACCCCAGCCTCTAACCGCAATAACATCGCTTGTGGCAGATAAAGTGCGCCGACGAGGGGCTGGAGGAGGTCCCGCTACTGGACCCGTCCCTGCTGGAGAACGACCGTCCCATCAAGAAGCTCTTCCTCGGAGGAAACCGCCTGCGCGTGCTGCGGGCGGGCAGCCTGGCGCGCCTGCCCAGCCTCGAGCGGCTCAGCATTCGAGCCTCGCGCGTCGCCGAGCTCGAGGCTGGCGTCTTCCAGGGCCTGCTGCGACTCCAGGTGGCGGGGGGGAGGGAGGGGGGGTCCCACTTCTTGTGTGTTCGATTCGTGGAGTTCCGAACCATCTCCAGCCTCCTCCACGTGGGGTGACAACCTCTTTCACGTGGGTTCTAAACCTCCTCCCAACCTCCTCCATGTGGGGTCCCAACCTCCTCCATGTGGGGTCCCAAACTCTTTCATGTGGGGTCCAAACCTTGACAACTTGAGGTCCCAGCCTTCCCCACGTGGAGTCCCAGCCTCCTCCATGTGGGATCCCCACCTCTTTCATGTTGCTGACCCAGGCCACTCTTGCAAAATGAGACTATCCTGATCTCCTGAGTTTTCACCTGGTGTTAATCAACAACAAATAACACCTCTCCCGTGGTCCCTCGCCAGGTCCTAGAGCTGCAGGATAACGAGCTGGAGGAGGTTCCGGCTGACCTGATCACTGACCTGCCGGCACTGCGCACGCTGGACATGTCCGACAACCGCGTGCGAGTCCTCCCCGCGGAGGGTCTTTCCAGGCTGTCGCGACTCCGTGACGTCTACCTGCACGGGAACGCACTGCGAGAGCTGCCACGCCGTGCGTTTGCGGGCTGCGTGCACCTGAGACGCCTCTACCTGCACGGGAATGCGCTCACGTGAGTGCTCGCAAAATTCCCAAGGAACATTAGCGACGAGTTTCACCCGAAGCAAGGTTCACGGGGCGCTGTCGTGTCCCTGGTTTCGAATCGGGGTTTTGGTCACCCGTGATTTATCCGGGTGGTCAAGCGCAGCGAGTTCATAGTCTCAGCGCAAGTTACCAGTAACTAACACAGAGAGCCACAAAGAGAGAGAGTCCTCCTCCTGCTCTGCCCCCTTTCCCCAGGTCCCTTCGTGCAGACGGGCAGTACTTTGCTGGCGCTCGCTCGCTGCAGGTGCTGGACCTGCACGGGAACCAGCTGCTGGTGCTGGACGTCGCTCTGCTGCTCGAGCTGCCGGGGCTGCAGCTGCTGGACCTGTCCAACAACCGCCTGCGCTCGCCGCCGGCGCTCAACCTGCCCCCTCGCGACCCCCTGCCCCCCCTGGGGCCCCTTCCCAACCCGCGACCCCGCGAACCTCTCACGAGCACCACCGTGGCACCCAGCCCCAGCCCGGAGCCCGTGCTGGGACCCGCGCTGGGACCCGCGCTGGGGCCCTTGCAGCTGCGCTGGCTCGTGCTGCACGGGAACCCATGGGCCTGCGAGGACGTGGACGCGGTGTGCGCCCTGCGCCAGCGGCTGCTGGACGCGAGAGTGCGGGTACGAGGAGAGGACGGGGGTCCGGAGGGTGCACCCAGGGGTAGGGATGGGGATAGAGACAGGAGATGGGGACAATAGTGATTGTAATACTTGCAAAGTTAAGTCAGATTTGCAGGCGCAATGTTCTTGTAATTTGTTTTTAAAGTGTTGGTATTTATTCTCCGGTTGCGTTCTTTGTTGTCGGAAAAACAGCTCTTCGATGCTTAGAAATGGCGAATGGGTAGCGGCAGAATTGGTGTTCAGTGTTGACATCCGCAGAAGTCAGAGTTAAAAGTCACAATCCGTTGAGGACACGGCGAACATTTTGGCCCGTATCATGTTTTATTGAGACCAAATTCAATGGAAATTATATTTATTTTACATTATTTGTTGTCGTGTTTAATCATACTCAAGCCATGATCTATCCACGGCTGGGTGAATGCCTCCCCTAGCCATCTCTTGAAGCAACGTTCCATATAGCTCTTCCCTTTAGCTGCCACTCCACCGTTAGTCTCGACCTCCAGCCGTTATCTCGATGATTCCTCGCCAAGCCTACTTGCTTTCCTTAACAGTCAGTATGATATCTCCAATTTGCATATGTCCTCTGTATTCATCTATTTTCACGTTAAAAAATGCTCTTGAGTGTAGTAATTCCACCAATTACTCGGGCGAGTAATCGGTGCTGTTGCGGCTCCTGGCAGGTGTACTACGGCCTCACCTGTGCGTCCCCGGCCTGGGTGGCCGGGCGTAACGTCCTCACGTCGCGATGCCCCCACGATCTGACCACAACCACCACGACCACCAGAACCACGACCACCAGAGGGACCACCACCACCACGAGGACGGACCAGCCAGGAATGCCGGGCGCCGCTATGCAAAGGTCAGGGGACATATCTAATAATGCCTTTATGACTCAACCCAAACAATGAATAGCTTTTTGTAAACAAAGTCACGATTACAAATGGTTGTGAGCACCTCAGATGGTACACGGAGATAACGGTTTGAGTCCTGCTGTGATGAGCTACAGACCTATGGATTTTCATTAGGAGTATATACATGCCTAGGTAAGGAGTATTTGAGAAGCAATATTATAAGGTTTTGTGTGCATATGTACGTTTTGTGTTTCTCTTTCACAAAGCAGCAACCGGGCGATGCCGGCAGAACCAGTCTGATGCAGTTGTGCCATGAGCTCCAAATCAGGCGTTGTAGTGACCTCACAAGCATACCATAATAGTAGAATGGCACGTCTTAACCATAACTTTGCAGTATTTTTCATCATACTTTTAAACTCGTGCGAGACAGCCCAGGAAACGCGGCCTAGATGTGTATCTGCAAACAGTGCCAGATTATCCTAGTAAAAGTAGCTACACATGCTACGGGCCTCGCACTTTCAAGGGCCCCACGCTAAATTCTTTCAAGCTATCAATTCCGGTTCAGTGATTCTGCACTTGCTCTATTACTACAGTACTATACTCCTTTCAACTTTTCTGAACGACTGAGTGTTTAAGGTCAGCGATTTGTCTTATTATCTGGCTATATAGCAATGAAAAAATTACTTTACTATGCAAGTTAAACATTGTGTTTTAATATTTGTGCTTTTTATTTATTTAGGGCCCCTTTGTAACATATGCTAGAGGCCCGCACTAGCTTAGTCCGACACTCTGCAAGATAAATTATTGTTTTTCGGTCACATCTTCCTTTGAATTGGGGGTGGGGAACGTCTTCCTTCCTGAGCAACAAGTATGGCTTTCACATATATTTGGTGGGCAACCTCCAATAATAACGCAACAATAACGACCGATTAAAAACAGGCCCTTGCCATGGTAAACTTGAGGGCGACACTAAAATTAGAAGCAGTGTTTTTTTCCAGGTTGACAATACTCCCCCTCCTAGTACCAGATTAGTGCGGCTAATATGCTCGCAGTAATGAATACAAATTGCTTTCAGGCCGTTTTGAAGCAACAGGCCTCATTATAGGCCCATGGGCAGTAGATTCACAGCCCCTGCTTTAAATTAACATCTGTGGCAATCTCGGCTTGTGTGTTTTTTTTGCTGAAGGACCACGCAAACTATGAATCCTGCGAGGACCAAGCTGCGTGGAACGAAACCCCAGAAGGTGAGATACATCTGAGTAAAGGTCACCTGCTCGATCAAACTCCACGTCAATTGCTCCAGGCCCCTCTACATATTTCACGCCGTTCCACATTTATCCCTTTGCAAATCCTTAATCGCTCCATCTCCTTGGTGCACCTCCTCTAAGACAGCCAGACGGAGGTGCGATACTTACATAAATTTTGCTTGCCAGTTGTGTAATAAACAAAGGTATGTTTGCCACGTGAAACTAAAATGTTGCACGGGCAAACGCTTTGTGCTATGACCATGGCTGATTCCCAGCCAAGGCAACCTCTTCAACAACTGACGCTGTATCACTTGAATGAGGTAGGCTCAAACAATCTCCAGGGCCAACATAGTGCGTGGCGGCATTCTTCAAACAGTGGATTGACAAAGGGCTGTACATTGAGACCCCCACGGAGTCTCGGGATTATTTTTCAGGAGGCTCTACCGTGCGTTGGTTTCCATTGAATGAGTTTTTTCTCAGAACTGATATTCAGTACGCATCATGAGTGGATATCCGTGCCACTGTAGCCTCATGTATACATACATGTATGTACGTTGGACTTCTTTCGCATCGTACGTAGCCAACCGTGCTTGACTGCCTCATGTGCCATCCTCTTTCTGACCTCTCCGTTGTCCATTTACATTAGCCAGTTTATACTGGTAGGAACGAAGTTGTAAACTGAGTGTACCAGCCTGCAATAGATTAATGTGTCCGTCCGTCCGTCCACCCGTCCGTCCGTCCCCTTTCAATACTTTAACGAAGTGAAAAATTCCAATGTTCCTACCAGCCCACCCTGCAGGGACCTGTTCTGCAGGATCTTACGTGACCGCTTACACGGACCAATTGTCTGGTTTCCCCCGTCGCGTCTGCCCGTTAGCCGGTGGTCGGGGGGCCTGCAGAACTCTCTGGCCAGCCTGGGGGGTCAGGGGGCCCCACACACTTCGCCTCGGACCTTCTGCCCCATGGCGTGTGGCTGCCGGGTCCCGACGGGTCCCTGCTCGGAGGAAAGCAGCCGGCGTCCTCCCGCCTGCCGCCAGCGTCGCCGGGTGCCGTGCTGGGCACGCTGCTGCTGCTCACGGCACTTGGTTGCGTGTGCGGGTTCCTGTCGAGACGCGCGCGGGCACGTGGGGTGCTGTGGGGGCAGCAGCGGCAGGGGGAGCAAGGGCAGCAGGCGGTGTTGGGGCCGGCAGTCAGGGATGCCAGGGCGCGGGGAGATTGATGATCATGGTGATGTCAGAAGCGCTCATGTGTTTGGTCTCATTGCAAAAATAATAATCAAAACGCTCGCCTTCCACAAAATCTCATGGTCACGATTGTCTTGCTGAGCTCTTTGGTGTGTTTTCAACATCATGTCCAATGTTTCGCTTCACATGCTGGGGGCCTTCTTCAGGAACTGTTACAATTCAGTTACAATGATCAGGGCATGAAGAAGCTCCCAGCACGTGGAGCAAGGAATGGTGTTAATAACGTTTGACATAATAGTGAACAACACGCAACATAGCCTGAAAACACAACCAGGGAGTTCCTTCCCCCTGCCCTCTGTGCTGTTGACTCTCTGCGTGTCAAATTCAAGATCTTCCTTTTTTCTTCTGCCTATGACTGACGGCCTCGATAAATGTTTCTATACCGTGTCTCGAGATGCGGTTGCGTTTAGACGCTTCTATATAGATCCACATTGTAATGTATAGTGTTCTACTGTGTCTTGCTGTGTTATTTTGAGACATTTTATAAATTCAATTGTATTATTGCCTGTTCATATTTGCATTAGGCCGCACATCCATCACACTCTGTAATGTAAAGCTCTGATTTTACACAAATTTCTCAGCAGGTCACTGGGGTGTTTTAAACACATTATTAACTTGTAAAAAAAGGGTGGCATGAGTATTCACTCAACGAGTGAGGACATTGATGACATATCCACAAACGTGTTGATGGGATTTAGCATCAGGTGTTTAATAATCATGCCACCACAAGCCTTGCAGCTGTGTTGGGACCAACATTTAACAATCATTGCTGATCAACTGTGGCCGGTGATGTCCACTGACACGAAATGATTTCTAATTTACACAATAAAGCTTCAGTGATCCTCAATACTGTTTCAAGAGAATCATGTTTGGGACCTTTGGTTGAGGAAAGAACACTCACACTCCACTATTCAAATAGCCTGACGTAACCTTGCTGCATTGTAGCCTGTAGGTGCCTCGATTTAACCTGTAGTGAAGAGTGTCAAATAAAGCATGTGTTGTGCGAGGTTCAGTCAGAGTGCTTTTTATTATTGCGTTTAGTAGTAAAGGTGAGGTTATTTGGATCCATAAGAGGTTTTTGGGTGAGAATAAATATAAATGTGTCGATAAACCCGCCACCACCAATTAGTAAGGGGGAGAGTGGTGAGGAATGTGGTGAGGAGTGTGGTGAGGACTGTGTGGTGAAGAGTGTGGTGAGGAGTGTGGTGAGGAGAGTGTGGTGAGGAGTGTGGTGAGGAGAGTGTGGTGAGGAGTGTGTGGTGAGGAGTGTGGTGAGGAGTGTGGTGAGGAGCAGTGTGGTGAGGAGCAGTGTGGTGAGGAGTGTGGTGAGGAGTGTGTGGTGAGGAGTGTGGTGAGGAGCAGTGTGGTGAGGACTGTGTGGTGAGGAGAGTGTGGTGAGGAGTGTGGTGAGGAGCAGTGTGGTGAGGAGTGTGGTGAGGAGTGTGGTGAGGAGCAGTGTGGTGAGGACTGTGTGGTGAGGAGGAGTGTGGTGAGGAGGAGTGTGGTGAGGAGCAGTGTGGTGAAGACTGTGTGGTGAGGATTGTGTGGTGAGGAGTGTGGTGAGGAGTGTGGTGAGGAGAGTGTGGTGAAGAGTGTGGTGAGGAGAGTGTGGTGAGGAGTGTGGTGAGGAGTATGTGGTGAGGAGAGTGTGGTGAGGAGTGTGGTGAGGAGTGTGTGGTGAGGAGAGTGTGTTGAGGACTGTGGTGAGGAGTGTGGTGAGGAGAGTGTGGTGAGGAGAGTGTGGTGAGGAAGATAAGTGTGTGGTGAGGTGTGGAGTGAGGAGTGTGGTGAGGAGTGTGGTGAGGAAGAGGAGTGTGTTGAGGAGTGTGTGGTGAGGAGGAGTGTGTGGTGAGGAAGAGGAGTGTGGTGAGGAGTGTGTGGTGAGGAGTGTGGTGAGGAGTGTGGTGAGGAGGAGTGTGTGGTGAGGAAGAGGAGTGTGTTGAGTGTGTGGTGAGGAGGAGTGTGTGGTGAGGAAGAGGAGTGTGGTGAGGAGTGTGTGGTGAGGAAGAGGAGTGTGTGGTGAGGAGGAGGAGTGTGGTGAGGAGTGTGTGGTGAGGAGTGTGTGGTGAGGAAGAGGAGTGTGTGATGGTGAGGAGTGTGTGGTGAGGAGTGTGGTGAGGAGTGTGGTGAGGAGGAGTGTGTGGTGAGGAGGAGTGTGTGGTGAGAAGTGTGGTGAGGAGGAGGAGTGTGGTGAGGAGGAGTGTGGTGAGGAGTGTGTGGTGGTGAGGAGTGTGGTGAGGAGTGTGTGGTGGTGAGGAGTGTGTGGTGAGGAGTGTGTGGTGAGGAGGAGGAGGAGTGTGGTGAGGAGTGTGTGGTGAGGAGGAGAAGTGTGGTGAGGAGTGTGGTGAGGAGTGTGTGGTGAGGTGTGTGGTGAGGAGGAGTGTGGTGAGGAGTGTGTGGTGAGGAAGAGGAGTGTGTGGTGGTGAGGAGTGTGTGGTGAGGAGTGTGTGGTGAGGAGTGTGTGGTGGTGAGGAGTGTGTGGTAAGGAGTGTGGTGAGGTGTGTGTGTGGTGAGGAGTGTGTGGTGAGGAGTGTGGTAAGGAGGAGTGTGTGGTGAGGAGTGTGGTGAGGAGGAGGAGGTGTGGTGAGGACTGTGTGGTGAGGAGTGTGGTAAGGAGGAGTGTGGTGAGGAGTGTGTGGTGAGGAGTGTGGTGAGGAGGAGTGTGGTGGTGAGGTGTGTGTGGTGAGGAAGAGGAGTGTGTGGTGAGGAGTGTGGTGAGGAGGAGGAGGAGTGTGTGGTGAGGTGTGTGGTGAGGAGTGTGGTGAGGAGGAGTGTGGTGGTGAGGAGGAGGAAGAGGAGTGAGGTGGTGAGGTGTGGGGTGAGGTGTGTGGTGAGGAGGAGTGTGTGGTAAGGAGTGTGTGGTGAGGAAGAGGAGTGTGGTGAGGAGTGTCGTGAGGAGGAGGAGTGAGGTGTGTGGTGAGGAGTGTGGTGAGGAGGAGTGAGGTGAGGAGGAGGAAGAGGAGTGAGGTGTGTGTGGTGAGGAGTGTGGTGAGGAGGAGTGAGGTGTGTGGTGAGGAGTGTGGTGAGGAGGAGTGAGGTGTGTGTGGTGAGGAGTGTGGTGAGGAGGAGTGTGGTGAGGAGGAGGAGGAGTGAGGTGTGTGTGGTGAGGAGGAGTGAGGTGTGTGGTGAGGTGTGTGTGGTGAGTAGGAGGAGGAGTGTGGTGAGGAGGAGGAGTGAGGTGTGTGGTGAGGTGTGTGTGGTGAGGAGGAGGAGTGTGGTGAGGAGGAGGAGGAGTGAGGTGTGTGTGGTTAGCGTCACGCGCGCGTCACGGACCTCTCACCCCACTTCCGGAAGCCTCCGCCGAGCACAAACGGCGACGACGGCCCGGAGACCCCCCCCCGCCGCAGAGACCCCCGCCGCAGAGACCCCCTCGACTCCTCTCCCACGGGACACAGCCGCGGACCCCCCGAGCAGCTCCCGGTGAGACTGGGCCCCCCCAGGAGTCCCCTTGGGCCCCCCTGGGGGCCCCCCCTGGTTGTTGCGAGGGTCGAGTCGTCGTGACGCAGCGAGATGTGAAGTCGCCGCTTCGTTATCGCGCGGTTCCCATCATCATCAGCAGCACCATCACCAATGGCTTTGTTGCCATGTTACGGCGATTATATCAAACGTCTTCATTATCATTGTCGTTATTAAGCTATGGACTGCATAGGTTATTTAGCCACCCTAAACATAGCGGGATTATAGTCGTACTTAAGCGATATCGTCATGGCAGCAAACGCTGCCATTACAACCTCGCCATCATCAACACGATCGTCATCATCATCAATTAATAAACACGTCACCACCATCAGCATCATCATCAAACAGTTAATCACGAACTCCTTCACCATAACATCACTACCGCATCAACCATTACCGCGCCTCAGATTAGCACGATTGGCTACGTACGGCGCGAAAGAAGTTCAGCATACTGTACATACTACCACCGTGTGTGTACGTTGTCGTCATCATCATCGGCATCGATCAACGTGAGTGATGTGTTCGGTGGCCACGCAGTGTTGATCGTTAGGGCTGAGTGTGGGGTATGGTGGTGGCTTTTAGTTGGGACTTTGGGTCAGTTGCATGTTTAAGAGCTTCATAGCTCAACGGATTTCTCCAGGATAAAGACGGATCCTGATGTTGCAATGCCCGTAGGCTCGGACACCAATTACCACGACCAAGTGGCATGGAACCGAGGCGCAGGCTTTGTGGATATGTCGGGGACTGTGCTAAGTGAATGTGAAGCGTTGTGTGTGTGTTGTTGTTGGCGGTCCGATTTTGAGTCGGGATTCTTGGTTGTTTGATCCGGCATGGATCGGTGCCAAATGCTTGCTCTAATCAGGTAGGCCATGGTGGTGGTGGTGATGCAGGGGAGCTGGAGCAGTAAGAGGGGAGGTAAGGCCCAGCCGGGAGCTTAGTGACCTTCAGAGGGCGCCTCCTAACACAGGAATAATATTACCAGATCAGCCCGTATCCTGTCAACATATACACTTCGGGTGTTTTAACATCGGTGTGCGTGATGCACAACATCTCACGCCAAGATGGTTTTCTTTCCCGAGGGTGCGTGCTGCCTGCGACCAGCCTCCGTGCTGCCACCACTGCCTATTTAATCATTAACGTGGTTGTGGTGGGATGCTGGGGCCGTGTGTGTGTGTCTGTCCGCCTACCATAGTGCACTTTAAAATACCCTTGCTACGTTAATTGTTGCGTGGTTTGACTGGGAACCTGGCCAAGAGACACGAGGAAACGAAAGTGAAGAAGTGCGCGAAAGGGGAAGGCGCGGATAATGAACACAGAATTCCAAACCGCTTGGGCAAGGGGCACGTCTCTGGAAGGGATGATGTCCTATCGTCAAGATATTAATAACAGTGGCAGCAGCCAAATAATGGATCGTGTCCTAGATAGAGCACGTGCGCCGTTGGAGATGGAGCGATTAAATCAGCCGATGTGCAGGTACTAGGTTGTGCATCGTTACATGGCAATGATAACAACCTGAGGTGCCCTATTGCCCCCTCATCTCGTTTGCAGTCTGATTATTACAGCGGCAGCAGTAGCAAGTGATTTGTGTTGATGATAGCAGTAGCAGCAGATTTGTAAATACAATGCGTGTCGTCAACCCTCCTCCGCCAGACAGCCAATTAGTAAAGTCACGTGAATACACATGCCAATGTTAATTACTGCTTCAGCACACGTGTGTGTTGAAGATAAATCTCGCAGCATTTGAATGGGTACGACGTTTCGCTGAAAGTTACAACCAGCATCATCAGGCAGATCTCAGAATTAAACGGTGTGATATTTCTCTCCAACACACCGGTGTACTACTGAAGCAGCGATGCATTGGCACGTTTGTTCATGTGACAACTTTATTAATTGGCTGTGTCGGGGTGGAGGAGGGTTTATGACACATTTTATTATTAATCATGTTGGTCGTGAAAGCCTACATGTAAAATGTAGGAGCCAGATGTATTACGTCATGACAACGGTCTAGCCGCACTGGGTTTGTGGTTTCCTCTTATTTGTATATAATAATATTCCTGGCAGGCAAGGGCACAGCAGCATAACTACGTTAGCTGCTTTAATTGCCTAAGGGGGCCGATGAAGAAACGGTCTCATCTGCAACTAGCAGAGCTTGTGGTTTACGTTTGTAGAAAGAGGAACTATCCTCAGTTTCGGGCTTGCTTGGGCCAATGACTACCTGGCATCAACACATAGCTTTGCTTCTCGTAAGTACACGCGCGTCATCGTTTAAAGTTGCCTTGCAGCAGCTCATCAGCACGGCGCTGGCCTGTCGACAACATCGGTGCTGCCAACTAAAGAGAGTTTCGCTGAAAGTGGTTGCCAAAGAGCCTAAACAGCTGTTGCTGAAAATAATGTACTGTTTAGTTATTTTTGTCAATCTATTGTACGTACGTGGTACCTTGTCCTATTCTTACATCGCAAAGATTATCAAGAATGCACGGTGATTATGCTTTTTAAGATTTAACATTTCCATCTTGAACCTTCTGCAAAACAACACTACTGAATGAAGGGTTCGCCATGTAATTTCGGTCATGCAGAACCTTCCTGAAAGAGGCTTGAGACCGAGCGAAGCTTCCTGTTTCGGTAAAATATACACAGCGTGTCAGTCCGCTGCTGGATGGGGGTTGTTTGACTATACTGCACCTTGCCGGTCAGCAGTGCAGGTTGGTGAAGGGGTGGAGGCCCAGAACTGGTTAAGATATCACTTGCCCACAGCCCACCAATGCTAGCCATGGCTGAGAGTCGAACTCAGGTGGTCGGTTTCATTGCACAACAGGCCAAACCTTGTACCGCCCCTCCAGCCCTCTTGCTGACAGAATAGAATGTTGTATTTGTTTTGTGCACGTGTTGAAACAATGAGCAAGTTTCTAAAATCCACCCATGCAGTATAAACGGGCACAGCACAATCGATTTGCATGTCCACTTGTGTTGGGGTAGAGGGCAGTTTATTCCCACACTGTACATTGTGGAAGAGTAGACCAGAAACACCCCTTTAGGGACTGTCTAGAGCTCTCTCTGATGGAGGCCCTTCTGCCAGCAGTGACATGAACAAACAATTGCAGTGCTGCACCTTTACCGCTGTGTGCACATGCGGGACAAGGACTGGAGGTACTTGTGATGAGTGGAGCGGATATTGTTCAGAAGGCTTGCGTTGCCTGGGCCTTTGTGGCCAATAATGATCAATGAACATCAATGAATAGGGAGGCTGCATATTAGCAGTGAGGCAGAAATGTGTTTTTCATGCCGAGTGGGATTACTGCATCGCCACCTTAACCCGTGCTCTGTTGAGAATCCTAATTATGCTGGAAAGATTGCCTGTCACATTGTAATGTTAACATTGAAAAGTACTTGTATGTGGGCAGTTCCACAGATTGAGCAAAACATCTAAATCATCATAAAACACATGGCTTGTAATTTTGAAAGTTATTGTCTATATTTTTAGAAAATGTGGCTTATACACTGAATATAACATCACCATCCCAGTTGGGATGAAAAAGTGATTTCATCTAAGCACGTCTAACACTGGTATTCTGTGAGCATTTCTTCCCTACCAAGAAAGGTGAACAAATAATTTTATCCAAATTAAAGTCGTAATTGATTGATGTACTACGCAAAATTAAAATGTCACTTAATGATTGCACTAATTACACCCACATCTTTAAGATCCGCATCCGAAAGTGGAACTGCCCATATGGAAAATAGTAGGGAAGCCCACAATAACTTTCATGTATTGCATGTTGGGCAGCTACTACTGTTCGAGATGACAGATGGCTCCACTTTATTCCGCTAGCCTGCAGTGTTCATGCAGTGGCGTGTACGGGAGGTAGCTGAATGATGGTAGCTGTGTCCTGTGTAATGGAGGTGGCTGGATGATGGTAGCTGTGTCCTGTGTAATAGAGGTGGCTGGATGATGATGTTGTTGTGTCCTGTGTTATGGACATGGCTGGATGATGGTAGCTGTGTCCTGTGTAATAGAGGTGGCTGGATGATGATGTTGTTGTGTCCTGTGTTATGGACATGGCTGGATGATGGTGGTAGCTGTGTCCTGTGTAATGGAGGTGGCTGAATGATGGTAGCTGTGTCCTGTGTAATGGAGGTGGCTGGATGATGATGGTTGTTGTGTCCTGTGTAATGGACATGGCTGGATGAGGATGGTTGTTGTGTCCTGTGTAATGGACATGGATGGATGAGGATGGTTATGTCCTGTGTAATGGAGGTGGCTGGATAATGACGTTTGTGCTGTGATTTATTTTTCCACAGAAACGCCACAATGTCGACCAGCGAGAAAGCTCCCCTGATGCCGCCCAATGCACCGAAGGACAGCCAGTCATGGGGAAACCCGGATCAGCCCGGCTACATGGCACCCCCCTACGTGCAGCCCCCCTACCTGACGCCCCCCGGCCCTTCATCCGGGGGTCCGGGCTACAGCGATACACCCTACCACCCAGCTCCAGGTCTTTTTGCACACCCACAATAATCATCTCAATATATTTCCGACACCGATGATCAATTAAGGATAGTTCATAGTGCGACCGCTTTCACAATTATCATACCATGGGCACTCGTAGTAACGCCACTGCTGGCTGCGATCATTCATTAGCAGCATTTCAGATATTCACCATGTGGTTACATCCGAAGCTGTCCTTGGGCTCACTCACCATCCTTGACATGAACTTATAAACATTATTGATCAACTCCTTGCCATAAGAAAGAAGAATATATTACCTATCTATTGCGGGGGTAATGGTAGGAAAAAAAAATTCCCAGATAAAATAAGACTGAGAAACTGTACAATCAGGGGATGGTCTAACTTTTCAACTGTTGTCCATTCCCTGCTTGACACAAATGATTGAAAATCTGTTAAGATGTTGGAGTACGTCAGGTGGCTCAGAGCGTGAATACATCCTATCTTGGAATTACTGATTCCAGTAAGCGCAATTGAAATTAATTGGGAGACAAATATATATTTTTAAATAATATCAGAGCTGAAATCTCAACAGGGTGTGTGATTTGTTTCAGGCCCTTCAGCTCCTGCCTTTAATGATGAGCATCCGCCAATATACCACGATAATGAAGACTTCAATATCTCTGACTGGACTGACAAAACAGTGCGGCGAGCTTTCATCAGAAAGGTAAGTCATGCTTGTAGTGGAGAAGCAACGGTGGAAACTCCGTGGCAATTTTGGACATCATGCCAAGCAACAGATGTCACAAACTGAAAACACATCCGAGAGCCGTACATTATAACCACGAAAACCCACAGAGCAGAATAATGATAATTTGTGTTTGATACAGGGCCCTTTACTCCGGAGCATGTAAGAGCACTTTATACTTAAAGGCAACTTATATCACATATCTCCAATGCTTTGAAAGGGCACACCCAGTGGCAGCTGCCCCTGTATGACATAAGGTCACTCAACACCTGTCCTTCAAGTGGGTATTCATGTGCCAGTAGGGGGAAATGATTGCTGTGTATAATCCCCGTTTAGTCATTTGCAGCATTTTTTTTTCCCGATGACAAATTTGGACCACGACACAGGCACACAATGGCCTCATGTTGAACGACATCACGGGATCCGTGAAGCAGACATCGTGCATCTGACAGATAAAACACGCGCAATCATGGCCAGGGCTGCCCGCCGGACTCAAAACGGCTGGGCTGTGTCACCGCCCCGACACATTGTGACGTGCTGTGCGTGTGTGTTTGCGTGCAGGTGTACCTGGTCCTGACTGCCCAGCTGCTGGTGACGTTCGCCTTCGTGTGCACTTTCCGCTTTTCGCCCGCCGTCTCGACATACGTTAAAAGTACTCCCGGCCTCTACTACGCCTCCTACGCAGTCTTCTTCGTCTGTCTCATTGCGCTCAGCTGCTGCGGGGAATTCCGCCGCAAGCATCCCTGGAACATCATCACGCTGGTGCGTGGTCATTCAGGACTTTCAAACTGCACAATGCAGCAGCACGGCAGCGTGACGTATGTGAAGCTTCTGGCCAAGCTGTGTTTTCAGGAACCTCTCTGTCCCCCGTTATTTTCATCAATAGTTGTCTCTCAATTGTTGAAGGATTCCCCTGTGATGCAATTATCCAACTCGCTCCTGCACATGAATGAATGAACTCCATCTCTGCAGTGATTACCTCTCAGCTGTATTCTGTCCTTTGACTGTAATTCCGTGACTAGTCTCATACCTTCTTGGGATTTGTTTACTTATTCCTTTATATCCAACATGATATTTATGATTTGCTTTCTGCATCAAGATCAAGAGGTCCTAATAGCTTTGGCCATTTATGCCACCACACATCACGATAATTTGTTATGCTAGATCCTGTAGTTGTTGCAAAGTCTTGAGGTCTTCTTTATGGTCATGGATCTCTGGGTCCCATTCCAATGCCTGTCTCACATAACCTTAATCAAATGCTTATATAGCAATGTAAATATTTGCCTTCTCCCCCCGACCCAAGAATGATTGCATGACTTGTCATGATTTGGGGTTCCGACTCGATTTCAGAATATATATACCTTTTCCCCATTGTGAAGCATGTGGAACCTGATAGCTGCATAGGTGACAGTTGAAAATAATTGATTACTACAAGCACAAACACATGACATCACGATTTTACTGAGCGGTCCTGTCCTGCGCTGAGTGGGTGGGTGGTGAAGGCCGTTTCATCGCCAATGTCGTTAAAACCAACCTCGGCCAGTGTCGCCCAGCTCCGAGTCCCCAGTGGCCTCTCCCCATGTTTACCTAACACTGTGTACCTGTGGTGTCGGCAATGCTGTTGAATGAAAATGGTTATGTGTCGCGTGTGCAGTCCATCCTGACGCTGTGCATGTCCTACATGGTGGGGATGATTGCCACCTTCTACGAGGCCGACGCTGTTGTGATGGCGATGGGCATCACAGTGGCGGTCTGCGTGGCTGTCATCTTGTTCTCTATGCAGGTAAACAAACGCACCGTATTCTTAGTTCTTTCGGTAAAGTCACGTTGAAGGGAAACAACAAAATAATAAAATATATATAAAACAATAAAAAATTCTCACGTTTCGACCATAACACAAATGGTCGTCTTCAACGACCGTTTGTGTTATGGTCGAATAAATAAATTTATGCAAACCAACACACCTGAAGACGACCGTTTGTGTTATGGTCGAAACGTCGTGAGAATTTTTTATTGTTTTATATATATTTTATTATTTTGTTGTTTCCCTTCAACGTGACTTTACCGAAAGAACTAAGAATATGAATTACTGCAGTCACAAAAGCTTTAAATCAAAATTTAAACGCACCGTAGTCTACGTTCGTTCACGTCGGCAGCGTGGATGCTCATGATAAATCCACTGCTGGATGAAGGCCTCCCCAAACTTTGCTGTCTCTGTCCTGTGATGTAAGAAGCCACCGACCATGCGTATATGGGCGGATCTCATCACTCCGTCCCCGCGATTGACCTCTTTGGGAGCATTGCCTACCCTTGCCTGCTGCTCCATCGTTATTCTCGACTACTGGCCATCATCCCATCAAGCGACATGCCCTGGCCAAGCAAAACCAAACGACATCTCTCACGCAAGGTGCGCAGATTGTTGTACGGTATTCGTGACGGTCAAGCCGACGGTTGTGTTTTGTGACCATCTTTCCTGTAGACGAAGTACGACTTCACATCCTGCAACGGCGTGCTGCTGGTGATGCTGGTCGTGTTGATGTTGTTCTCCATCCTCTGCATCATCTTGCGCAATCATATCCTCAACATCGTCTACGGGGCGCTGGGGGCCCTGCTGTTCACCGTGGTGAGTCGCCAGAATGTCACTACCTCTTCTGAGCCATAAAATCACGTTATTTCACACAGTGTCGTGTGCTTGTTTTTCAGTTATCCACGGACTTTGTGTTCTGTGCCTCTGCTGTAGCCACCTCCACAGATTCATGTCTTAACGTCCTAGTCTCATGTCACAGATGTTGTGACAACCATAATAATTGCATTGTTTTATTTTATGTAACGGCGTGATTCTAACTGCTGCAGAATGTGTCACTCGTACTGTTTTTCCATTGGAGGCGTGGGAAACCATAGACAAGTGAGGAGGCAACCAGAACCATCATTACCAACAATTTCAGGAGCTCTATTTACTTATATTGGGAATTTAGGCTAACTCCTTGAATGAGTCTTTATACGTATGGGAGGTAACCGGAGTATCAGGAAAAAGACCCACTCATGCGAAGGGGGTAACACTCAATCCCCGGCCAGATGGAATACAGATGGAATTTAAACAACTTGGCTGTGCTGCCATACCGCCATACCCTAAAAGCCTCGCAGCCCATGGGAAGGGAAGGAGTTTAACCAATCTGCAATCCACCACCAGTGCTGGGTTACAGGCGCCCAGCTCGTTGCGCAGCGTGGTGGCACCAACAAATGTACTTCTCACGTCTGCAGCTCGCTCATCTCGATCCCTTGTTCACCTGTTTCATTGCACACTGTAGCTCTGTGGTTTGGCAAGCCATATCTCTCGGTGGGCCACGGCCCAGCATCGTGCTTCTAGAGCCTTTGTCGGTCTCATCTGACCCACGGGCTGCCATTTGAAAGAACCCTGTAACAAGAGTTTTTCATGAACAAGGTTGCATAGACACTTGATAGGCGATGTTGCTGCTAAGCAGGATTTGTCCTCTCCACAGTTCCTCGCAGTGGATACGCAGCTGCTGATGGGGAACCACAAGTACGCGCTGAGCCCTGAGGAATATATCTTCGCCGCCCTCAACCTCTACACGGACGTCATCAACATTTTCCTCTACATCCTGATGATCATTGGGAACTCTCGCAACTGAGTGCACGACGAGCCAGCTTTGTCCTGTTAGGAAATGTGTCTTCGTGTTAGGGATTCGTGGCATATTCGGTGAAGTTTGGCTCATTTTTCGACGAGAGGTTTGTACACAGCTTCAGTCCGTCGAGGCGCAACAGCAGCAAGTTGTCGTCGTCCATGGTCAACGCCTCTGACCTCCGTGTCAAGACATCCGTGCTCACCTCAGAAATATAGTAGAAACCTCGTAGAAAATGCTCGGATAGAGTTTTATAGACTTGTGCGGCAAGGCAGCCTCACGCCGTGTAATGCGCGGAATGAAATAGCCCTCGAAATAAATTATTTTAAAAGTGAAAACAAAAATTGGCTTTGATGGGCAACAACCAATACGGCTAACCCATGCATGAGCATAGGGCCTTTGGAATGAGTTAGGTTTGGAGACAATTGAGAAGCAGGAGACTTTTAAACCACTTCGCTATCAGGTCACGGACCCTCCCTACTCTCCAGAGCCTCGCACGGGGCAAGGTGGAGACATGGGAGGGTCGGGGCTCTCCGGCGCTCATGCGCCAACATCTTCAACTCTCGCTTCCCAGTGTCCACGTTCCAAGCACATGAAGGGTTGTCGCATATCAAGTTGGCTTTTGAGTTTCACTGTTTCTAAGAAATTGGTATTAATGGATTATTAAATCAATGTCTTAATGCAGAGTGTAGAACGACTGAGGCTGTCTGCTTGGTTTAAATGCTGTTGCGTAAACAATTTCTGTAAAAAAAATATATATGTTAAAATTTATCTTTACTTAATGCAAATCCTCCTTTAAGAAGCAAAAATTCTACTTATCAAATATAATGTTACCTCCTTTCCACTTGCCTCGGTGTGTCAACAGCAAAAGTGTTTTCGCGGATGTTAAACGAGAGCGTATGCGTGTTCTGGTCTCATAGTGGAGGTTGGGCTTGGGTGGAGGAGTTCCCGAGTGTGAGTTTTGAAGGTCGAGATGCACCGAGTATCATTAGTGTGCAATTAGCCGGGGAAGGGCGGGGGGGTGCAGGCGATCCTCTTACGGGATACAGATCGCGCCGCTTACCGACGCGTTTCGCTATTACTGCACCACTAAATTTTGTTGTAACGGCGCTTTGTGCGCGATTGGGCCAGGTTCTTGATTTTACTTTTTTGCAATCGGATACCATCGCATAGAATGTAGCCAACCAGTGAGCAGGTTGGTCACGCGCGACTGCGTGACCGCAGAGTGCACATGAGGTGTCCGTATATCGGTGTGTGGAAATGCGTGTGTGAGTTAATGCATGTGAATATCCTTGTGGCAGCATTTCACTTTGTGATCGATAAGGGCGCAGTCCAGCACAGCCCGTTTACGCCCCCCCCATCCATCACTTGTACTGACATTGTACAGCGTATCTAGGTCATAGGATGGGAGGGGGAGCCTATGGCACCGACCTCAATTCGCACGGCCTGTGTGCACCAGGTGTACCACTTAAAAATGGCCCACGATATTTAACATAACCTTCAAGCAGCTTGGCAGTGCAAATCGAGTACCACGGGGGGGATATTTTCGACCTTGCAACACTTCATTTTGGGGAACTCATTAATAGTATTTTTAAGGGCCTCTTGCAGTGACTGAAGTGTGTGTGTTCACGTGCTGTTGCCTGCTAATGCAGGGATTTCCCAAACTTCAGTCCTCGCGATCTCACCATGCGACGTCTTTCCGCGTTTACCGACGTACTCCCCATTCAAATATAAGTGAACTCGTGTCACGCGCCCGATGATTGTTAAACGACCCACGCGACGAGCTGAATCAATTAACGCTGTGCGTTAATAGAGCCAATTGAAATGAAGATTTGAGATATCTGCGCGTGTGTATGCACGTGTGCCACGTGACAAGACAGCGTTAATTAGCGCGTCACGTGGGACGTTTACGTACAGCGTGGCACGTGTTCAATTGTATTTGAATGGGAGCAGTAAATTGGTAAACGTGGTGGGTCGCGAGGACTGGAGTTTGGTAAACCCTGTGGTCTTTAAAAGTCATTCGGGCCTCGGTTAAAGGCCCCCCCACCCTTGCTTTAAGGTGAAAGTGAGATGCGGCCCAACTGCTGAGTCCCCATCACTCGTTGACCCCATGCGTTTGTATCATCTCTGCGTTCTGGCCTTGTTGTGTTCCTATCGATAGGGTGGCTACATTGCCCCACGCATCCTTGCCTGCTGCAATGGCAAACAAACGCGCCCGTGTACCGTGGCCGCTATATCAGCACCCGGTCCGCGTAGCGACCGCGCAGTCATATCGAGATGTATCAGAGCTCTGGGCTCCCAACACGCACGCTCCACCGCCGCGCGGTGCAGGTGTGGAAGATCTCTTTTTAGATGACGCAGCAGCACACCCCACCGGCAGGCAGGCTGCAAGGACGACACTTTATTGGCACCGTTTGGGTAGAATCGCCCTGTCGTGGCGACGCTGGGACGTGCTTCATCGTACGATACACGGTCCGCGATACTCGTGTTAGTATTTAGAAAGATGTTTCGTTCCTAATTTTTGTTAAATTATTCTTTCCTGGCAATATGTAAACGTTAATAGTAAAATATTTTTTTTAAACGATAGGCTACATTACCCATTAACTGTGTTTTTGTGTTATTTGCATCGGTAAACTGGTAGCGGTATATTGAATGGTATCGTTCTTGTGTGACCAACAAACGCGTGTTTTACGGAGTAAAATCGCCGGCGATTGTAAGGCTTGCGGCAGGCGAGTGTCGAGTGTCGTCTCGGCTCACGGGGCGGGTTTCAGTTTGCAACACGGCGGCGATTTCGAGTCGCGGGAAGTGCGACAAAGCGCACAAACACAGCGGTGCAATCAAAACAAACACCAAGCATGCACGAGACGCAAAGTGACGCGGAGCCGTGCGAAATGGACGTCGCGACGTTAGTTTGGGGCACACCCTGCCGCGAAACGCGAGGTCGCGCGTGTCACCGCATCGGCCCCGAAAGAAGTAAACATCGCGGTCTCATCAATCTTCCCCGGCGTGAGCGCTGAACGTGAAGGTTGTCACGGGGGTCAGCGTGCCACCGGCACCCCCCCCCCCCCCACCGTCACGGGGGTCAAAGTGCCACCGGCACCCCCCCCCCCCACCGGGTTGTCACGGGGGTCAAAGTGCCACCGGCACCCCCCCCCCCCACCGGGTTGTCACGGGGGTCAAAGTGCCACCGGCACCCCCCCCCCCCTTACTGCGCGAGGGCTCTGGGCGGCAAATTGTGCCATTTCACGCCGGTTCGGACAGCCATGTCACTTGTAGGTCGCTACAGTTTCCCTCGCTGATAAAATGTTATCCTAGTAACCGAACAAATAATTTGGTCGTGGTGGTGGTGCGTTTGACAGCGGTGTACGCACGGGCACAATTAACAACAAAACACCGCAACACATTTGTCATTAACACTTTAAAAGGAAACGGTACATTGGAGGTGACGTTTTTTGAGCAATAGTTCTGTGAAAGACCCATTGCCCAAAACGTCGCCTGCTAGATATAGTTTTAACAACTGAAGTGATTGTGACCAAAACGGCGTCAAATGAAAGTGATGAAAGTGGCGTTGCATATTCATTTCGTGTGTCGATCTAGACACCTATAACATACCCAAGCTCTTACCGGTGAGGTGAGGCTTACACACTGGGTATATTATGGTTGATGTGTACTAATTGGTAAAGTGTGACTTCATGAAGCTCGTGGTGTATACCCTTACACTGTTGTGTAAGTAGCACAATTTTAATTAATTAAAAAAATGTATTTGTATAATAAAAATGATTAATCTTTACAATTAGCGGTGCATATGGGGAGAGGTCACAGTCACGCGGTGCGTGTGCGCCGTGCCCACAGGAGCTCGCGCGGTGGTGGAACCGAGGGGTAGACAAAGGCGCAGCCCTGCAATTTCTCGCTCATGCCGCCCACTGCCGGTGGAAGGGCCTCCACTTCCAGGCAGTGTTTCATTGCTGTGCTCGAGGTGGGCTGAGACAGATGTTGTCACTTAATCGGTGGCACGCGGCGTGACGACCTCGGTGGTCTCAATTCTGTACGGCCAACATTCCGCTTCTGCCCACGCGCTACAGCGCGTTTCTCATGTCGAACCACTGCCGAATGAATGAAGGTTTCCGCGCGCGCCGCGGGAGCTGTTTTGACCCCGACTTTAGCACGTTGGTCAGTGCGGGTCGGTGAAAGCGCGCGAGCATAGATGTTGGAGCATAGAAGTACGGTACAACGATGTATGTTGCTGCACTGCGGTCAACCAACAGTCCTGGAGCGGCATGCAAACAGGCGTTTTAATGCGTGGCGGTCGCTAATCCAACACTGCCCGGGCCCAACTCTGCTGAGCTTGCGAGATCTGATGAAATCCGGTGCACTCCGGGTGATGCGGTCGACGAGATGTAGACGCAAGGGCAGAAGAATGTTATCAGACGACTGCACGATGTTTAAAACGCAGTTACAGTGCACTAGCGATGTCCGTGTGTTCTCCGCAGGACTTCGTGGGGTGCTGTGTTGCTTTGCCCTGCTGTTCGTCAGGAAGAGCACTCTTGTGAAGGGAGTTTGTAAATGTTGATTACCAAAAAAGCACAAAACTCACCTCGGAGAGGGTGGCAGTATCGGCTGGCAACGTGAGCGCATCCACGCGATTAACCCTCATCAGCATGACTATCATCCACGAGATGGTAACGTCGAATGAAATTACAATTGACTGCCAAAGGCCAAATTTACTTAAAATACTCCCTCATTACAATGAACTATAACGCACAGCTAGTGCTGTCGTCTTAATTGTCCACAATTAGTCTTAAATACCTGCATCCGTCTAGCCACGAGTCCCCTTAATTAGCAGGACACTATCGTGTACCCATCTCGAGACCATTGTCCCCATCATCTACATCGCCGAAAGCAATGGCTCATGAGCTAATGATATCATTCCAGCTGCAACCTCGCCGTACGCCGACACTATACATATCACTTACTGACGTGACGTCGCTGTACAAACCGGTAACAAGAGCAATAACAATGCATCATTGAAACAGGGCCTCCACATTCACGTGAAGTTCATAACGCGTGGCAGGCGAGGGAGGTGATGCTTTCTTTTGGGCCGTCCTTAGGCAGTGTCAACGTTTGCTCATGAAACTAGAGGGAATTCACATTCAAATCAAAATGTGTATTTCTTAAGTCAACGATGACTTAAGTGGACGAAAAACCATCAATCGTGACGTATTTAGCTATAGACTCACTAGCAAAGACCTCGGCGTGACTATGACGAGACCAACATTGCCCTTGAGTGAAGGCGCAGCCGAAGACACTAATTTAGTAGCGTTATTTGAGACGGGGCAACGAGGAATACCAAACATGGTAATTTGTTATTTTCTCACGTAGAAAAAGTTGACTGGCTGACCTGATAATATTTCCGTGGGGAGGTGGTAGTGGCACGTACCTCTAACATTTAATAACTAATAGTGAACTACATGGTGGACTCTTGCGGTAGACTAGACGAAGATTTAATTACACACTGACGAGATTTATCCTGGTCACTGCAGGGCCTGGGGATTTGTGATTTGGCTGTGCTAGGGATTAACAACTCGTTTAAAAGGAACGTGCTGGGCAGAGCCTGCTTGTGGGTCGTTCGAGGGACGGGAATGACACGTGTTCTGGTTGTCCACATCCTCGGCCACAGCGTGTACGCATTCGCAATCGTCCACTCGCTGTTAAGATGTAATTGAAACCCTTACAATTCATCGCTGTGTGTATTTCAGCAATAAATCGTTAATGTAAAAACCACGAATGTGTGTGCGTGCGTCGTGTGAATGTGTTCCCGAGAGCTGTGTGCACGCAGGGCTCGTTATAAATGCAAAGTGTGCACACATTCACAATTACGAATCCCGTCACATTTGTCGTGACGCCAACTCGCGACTCGGAACGATATTTGAACCCGTCCCGTCGTAAAAGGTGCAGCCTTGTAATTCCTTGCCAACGCCCACTGCTGGTGTAAGGGCCACGACGAGAGGGGGCTCCAGAGAGCCCCACTCTTGAGGGTATTTGGCCTACTCTTCCACGCTGGCCAAATGCCTAGGAAGAAATGGAGGAGGCATCCACATTATACCCCACTACAAGCGACCAACCACCAAATCGCCTGTGGTGAATCCATTTACACTTCTGGCCGGAGAGCCTGGGGGAATTTATGAAACTCGCACCGTAGTTTCTACTGCCACGACGAGAGATCGAGCTGGCCGACCTCTGGATCACAAGTCCAGCGTGTGCGAACCAATACGCGATGGCTGCAGCTTCCCCATTCTCAGTGGCATTCTGTGGGCGATAGAGCGATGTGCAATCCCACGATTGAGTGATTTTGCAGGTGGCGGTGGTGGGGATTGGCGGGGGCGGTTATTAAAACGCGGATATTTTTTTCAAATGCCGCACCGGGAGACCATCGCATTTATAAATGTAATTTACGTCGCGATGTTTTGTGTCCTATCCAAGTACTGGCCACGAGCTTCCAAGTACACACGCAGGAATTAGGTTGGCGGGTATCGCATTCCAGCCCTTGCAGATGCGGGGAAAAGACTCCGATTCTGTCAATGTCATCCGACCACCGAGTTGTATCCAATCAAACAGGAGACTTCCATCTTGATTTGAAGCTGTCGTGACTGCAGGAAACCAGACTCTTTGGTTCTTTCGGTAAAATCACGTGGCGTAGAAATAAATTAAAATAAAACAAATCACGACGTTTCGATTGCAACACGAGCAATCATCATCAGGTGGGAAAACCACTTCAGCAAAAAAAATATTGCTGTGGTTTTCCCACCTGATGATGACTTCCATCCTAACCGTGGGAGGCCTAATTTTGTCCTTCCCCAACACCTGCGATTAGCATGGTTGGCCACGTACGGTGGAGAAAGAAGTTCAACATGCGTACATACAAGCGCCATTCCCAGTGTTCCCAGACTGTGGAGGAGGGGAAAGTGAGCTACGTACATGACGTCATAACCTGGCGTTAACCCGCAGTTATGACGCCACGGTAAGAGCCTAAACTTTGAGACACGCTTGCGCAAGTCCTTTATTTCAGCCCCAAGACCGGAATCAACATCGGCTACGACACTGCAACTTGTGAATTTATTAAGATCGTCAAGTTATGAGTGAAGTAAACATAGTTGAAGAGTGGCGAAGCATAATCAAACAGCCCCCACGACCTCATCTAGCAGTGGATTGACAAAAGGGGGCTGCGTACAAACACATGGTTGACAGTGTTTAACAAACGGTCAATGAATGGAGAATGGTTCATTAATGGACTTCCAAGTGAACCACTTAAAATTACATGAGCTCAAGCCCTCTAAATTGAGTGTAGTATCCACAGAATTTGGGTACACACCACGAATTAAGTGCACATGGGTAGTGTAGTGCACATGGGTAGTGTAGTACGCATAGCTAATTAGGTACACACCACGAGTTAAGCGCACATGGTAAGTGTGGGATGCACGGCTAATTAAGTACACACCACGAGTTAAGTGCACATTGTTAGCGTAGTACGCACAGCTAGTTGGATACATACCACTAGTTAGGCGCACATGGCAAGCGCTGTACGCACCAATATCGATAGACAGCACAGCGCGAGTCCGCGGGACGCTCACACGAGCCGCGGGTTGTCCAGCACGGCCACGCCGGCCGCCACGCCGCCGTCCGCATGCTCCAGGCTCTTGGTGCGCAGCAGGTGGCCTCCGCAGTCGTTGAGCACCATCGCACCGCCCTGCCTGCAACACACGGTGGCGAGATGTTGACTACCTCGCCTGGTACACAGGAGGTCGTGGGTTCGATCCCGACCCTGACGCCCGCTGTATATTTGGAGTTTGCGTCTCTCCCTCATCATCATGGTGGCAAGAAGATGTTAATTCCTTTGCCCGGTATACAGGAGGTCGTGGGTTCGATCCCGACCCTGACGCCTGCTGCTGTGTATTTGGAGTTTCCGTCTCTCTCTCTCTCAATGTCGTCGTGTGGATTCATCTCCGGGTCCTCAGGTTTTTTTACCTCCACATTTAGAACCAACAACAAGCGTTCAGATTATTTGGCTGCTGTCATTTTCCACGTAAGCCACTTTGTTGAGCTATCATTTGTGGCCAGGACACTTCTGAAAAAGAGCTATCCATCTCAGTGGGGGCCTTACCTGGTAAAATAAAAAAAAAAAAGTTTAGTTTAGTTTTAGTTGACACAAGCGGTTGCAGCGTGGGCAATGTGATTTGAAGCTGTCGTGACTGCAGGAAACCAGACTTTGGTTCTTTCGGTAAAATCACGTGGGGTATAAATAAATTAAAATAAAACAAATCACGACGTTTCGATTGCAACACGAGCAATCATCATCAGGTGGGAAAACCACTTCAGCAAAAAAAATATTGCTGTGGTTTTCCCACCTGATGATGACTTCCATCCTAACCGTGGGAGGCCTAATTTTGTCCTTCCCCAACACCTGCGATTAGCATGGTTGGCCACGTACGGTGGAGAAAGAAGTTCAACATGCATACATACAAGCGCCATTCCCAGTGTTCCCAGACTGTGGAGGAGGGGAAAGTGAGCTACGTACATGACGTCATAACCTGGCGTTAACCCGCAGTTATGACGCCGCGGCAAGAGCCTAAACTTTGAGACACGCTTGCGCAAGTCCTTTATTTCAGCCCCAAGACCGGAATCAACATTGGCTACGACACTGCAACTTGTGAATTTATTAAGATCGTCAAGTTATGAGTGAAGTAAACATAGTTGAAGAGTGGCGAAGCATAATCAAACAGCCCCCACGACCTCATCTAGCAGTGGATTGACAAAACGGTCAATGAATGGAGAATGGTTCATTAATGGACTTCCAAGTGAACCACTTAAAATTACATGAGCTCAAGCCCTCTAAATTGAGTGTAGTATCCACAGAATTTGGGTACACACCACGAGTTAAGTGCACATGGGTAGTGTAGTGCACATGGGTAGTGTAGTACGCATAGCTAATTAGGTACACACCACGAGTTAAGCGCACATGGTAAGTGTGGAATGCACGGCTAATTAAGTACACACCACGAGTTAAATGCACATTGTTAGCGTAGTACGCACAGCTAGTTGGATACACACCACTAGTTAGGCGCACATGGCAAGCGCTGTACGCACCAATATCGATAGACAGCACAGCGCGAGTCCGCGGGACGCTCACACGAGCCGCGGGTTGTCCAGCACGGCCACGCCGGCCGCCACGCCGCCGTCCGCATGCTCCAGGCTCTTGGTGCGCAGCAGGTGGCCTCCGCAGTCGTTGAGCACCATCGCACCGCCCTGCCTGCAACACACGGTGGCGAGATGTTGACTACCTCGCCTGGTACACAGGAGGTCGTGGGTTCGATCCCGACCCTGACGCCCGCTGTATATTTGGAGTTTGCGTCTCTCCCTCATCATCATGGTGGCAAGAAGATGTTAATTCCTTTGCTCGGTATACAGGAGGTCGTGGGTTCGATCCCGACCCTGACGCCTGCTGCTGTGTATTTGGAGTTTCCGTCTCTCTCTCTCTCAATGTCGTCGTGTGGATTCATCTCCGGGTCCTCAGGTTTTTTTACCTCCACATTTAGAACCAACAACAAGCGTTCAGATTATTTGGCTGCTGTCATTTTCCACGTAAGCCACTTTGTTGAGCTATCATTTGTGGCCAGGACACTTCTGAAAAAGAGCTATCCATCTCAGTGGGGGCCTTACCTGGTAAAATAAAAAAAAAAAAGTTTAGTTTAGTTTTAGTTGACACAAGCGGTTGCAGCGTGGGCAATGTCGTCACTCGTCACCCCCGCTCAGCTCGCCAAGGGCCAGAGCCAGTGATGCACGAGGGCAAATGCGTCGTGATGGTCCATGGCAATCGCGAGTGGCCTAGACCGACGGACTTCCGTCCAAGCCAATGAAGACACATAATTATATTTAATGAAGCATTGATCGGTCTCCTGCAGGGTTCTTCAACTGTATTTTCAAATCTGCCTTATGTTCGTGAACACAAGGCAGATTTGAAACACGGTAGGACCAATGACTTCTGCCGTGGCTGATCATTATTTGAATGCGGCTGGATCACACCAAATTTATTTCTCTAAGACAATGGTGACTTTGCAAGCCGACTGGCTATCAACAAAGATTCGTTCATGAAGCCATCCATATATGCAGACACAGACACAATTTCAACCGAGAGGATCGTTATAGACTCAGCAATCATTAGAAAGATGTCATTAACGACTTTGGGTCATGACTTGACTTGTGTTTTCTTGTCAATCAACCTCCACCGTCAGCAGTGTGGTGTGTGGAGCGGGGTGCAGTGATTTCCTGGTGGCCCTTTGCTGCATTGGCATTGCTGCTACATTGGCATTGCTGCTGCATTGGCATTGCTGCTGCATTGCCATTGCTGCTGCATTGGCATTGCCGCTGCATTGGCATTGCCGCTGCATTGCCATTGCCGCTGCATTGGCATTGCCGCTGCATTGGCATTGCCGCTGCATTGGCATTGCTGCTGCATTGGCATTGCTGCTGCATTGGCATTGCTGCCCTGCCCATGCTCCTGGTGCTGCTGATACATTTGGGCTACGCCCATCTCCAAACCTTTATAAACAGTTTGCCTTTAGAGGCAAACGACCGCTTGTGTTAAATCCGAAACGTCGTGATATTTTTATTCACTTTGTTTTCATTATCATTTTTTCTATCTACGTGTTCGGATTTGGACAACTTAATTTTTGTTTACAATATAAAATTATGCTGGATCTATTGCCGGCGACAGCCGCTTTAAAACTGCGTCGGCGCATCACAGCTCCAACCCCTTTAGGAGGGAGTGACGCACGCCAAAGCACGATGCCGCGCGGCCCCGCCACCGTGGCCCATACCTGACGTAGATGCCGAACATGCCGAGCTCGCTCACGCAGTCGAGCGGTGCCAGCGGGAAGCCTGAGCGCACCAGCACGTTCCTCACGGCCAGCGGGCGCACCTTGTCCATGAGAATGTACGCCTTGCGCTCCGGGCTGTGCCCGATCCTGCCCAGCAGCTCCGTGATGTCGTCTCCAAAAATGTTATTCCCTGCGAGATCCGGCAAGGAGATTAATCGTTTTTCACGATATGATGCAATAATAATAATAACTAAGTTTTATATTGCATAATTCATGGCAAATGAATCTCACAACGCTGTGCAATAATGAAATGCATAATTATATTCAGGGCCAAATCCTATCCATTGCAATGATCAAAGTAAATAACCTTCAGAAAATATAAATGAATGCATACATGAAGAAATGGTATGAAAACAAAAGGCATAAACAAACAACGAACAAGTTATCACAACAGAGGTACAGAAAATGACGCCTGGCACAAATGTTTAGATATTTACCATCGTGATACCACCACGATTATCGCGATATCAGTCTTCCAAAAATGTGTACTTGTTTCGTTTTTATCGTGGGTTACTTTACTTCTAAGTAAGAATAAAGATGTATGCATGTTAAACTTCTTTCGCACCCTACGTAGCCAACCGTGCTAATCGGAAATGAACATTCTTCAACTGAAGTTCAATCAACATAAGCCTGTTATAAGTCTTGCAACTTTACCATTGGAAATGCACATGCCATCCGTTACACCAATATATTGAAACAATTCAATGACCTGCGAAAATCATGATGTCGTATAATTGCAATGCCATCAATTACTCTGAAAAAACATTTCACAAAGCACTAATTTAATAGCTATTTATTTACAAACTTTAATTCGAAACAGACGTAAAACAACCGATGATATTAGCAAAATGGACGATACTATGAACGTGGATTTTATATCGCTCGATAAATCGTCGCATCGCCACGTCGCGGCGAGCCTACTTGCCGTGCGTTACAAGCAGAGGGTGATTCAAGCCGGGGGAAGACGGGGGACGATGGGGGGGAGATGAGGGGAGATGGGGGGGAGACGGGGGGGGGGGGGAGATGGGGGGAGACAGAGGACAATGGTGGGAGGAGATGTGGGGGGCACACAGGGGGGAAGACGAGGGGGGGAGACAGGGGACAATAGGGGCGGATGAGGGCGGGGAGACAGGGGGGAAGACAGGGGGAAGGGGACAGGGGGGAGACAGTGGACAATGGGGGGATACGTGTGGGGGAGACAGGGGGGAGATGAGGGACGATGGGGTGGAGACAGGAGGGAGACGGGAGGGAGACGGGGAAGACGGAGGGGAGTCCGGGATGCACAAGAGTGGCACGGTTACTGACCTCCACCTTCACGTTCTGGCTTCAGCACAAAGCGGTGAGGATCCGCCATCGCCAAAGCCACCGTTCGGTCGCCCTCCTCGTTCTGGAACAAAACCCGTGCAGCCACAGGTGAACAGGGTAATAGTTCTGCTGCGGACCACCACCCCACTACCTGACAACTTTCATAATTGGCTGTGTCTGGTGGAGGAGTGCGTACGACACAGACTTCAACCATGTGATATCTGACCTAAAAATATATTTTGAATCATGTCGGTTCGCGAAAACCTACGTGTTAAATATATACACAACAAAACGTGCCCGCACATACTGTGTGAAGTTATTTTTCTTGCGGACCCCTAAGAGAAACTGAAAAAGCAAACAGAAAAATGGGGCCGCAAAAAAGTTAAAATCTGAACGGCGCACAAAGTGACGAAGCTTCTTCTACGCTCGCCGCGTCTCCACGCTGCACGGAAACGTCGCAAACTCCACACCGATCGAGTCAATCAAATGCGTGCATTTATAAAAAGTTAACTTATACCTTTAAAGCAACATGTGTTTTAACGTGACATTCTTCTTATTAGTAGTATTGTTACGTTTGTTTACTCGTGAAAGCTTCGTCAGGAGGGTCCTGCCAAGTTTTGTCAGTAGGGGGCGATGACTGCGTATGGACACCGGGATAATTTATGAGCAGTCAAAAATTAAAATGACAAGCTGTAAATCGACTAAATTTAGTCTTCGTGGAAACTAGGTGGTTTTGTTAGGAAAATGGATACACAGCGGCGCGCTGTGGCCTGAGTTAGCCCGAAATATCGAGGACATGCCATACTCTCCGTATTCCCTGTTGCTCAATACTTCCGAGTGCTTTTTAGAAGTTGAAAATAAAATACGCACGCTGCCTACATGCATCGTCAAGGAAACCGCCACAACCACACGATTTTAATCTTGAGTCGTTATCAACATCAAGGTCTGCACGCTTGTCGGCAAGGCCGTGTGCCCCAGGGTACGTTTCCCTGTATGTCAGCAAACGTCACCGCAGCAGCCAAAAGACTTCCATTTCATTTCATGGGTGAATTCGTCAACACCACGATCATTAGTCAGGGTCAAGCCACTGCTGGGTGAAGGCCTTCGCTTAAGTTTATGGCCATCTCTCACCATCCAGCCAAGTAATAATTCCCCTCTCTTCACCCGCGACCTCGTCATGTTGCAACGACAATTATCATCGGCCCTGGCCTTCGTGTAAATTGCGCCCCGGTGCACACAGACTCGAGCACCCCTCCAAGTCGATCCAACTTTAATCACGCTGCCATTTATTATCGCGAGTTAGCCATCGCTCGTGTGCTACCTGACACACGCTCACTTTATGACAAACAATCCACCGGCGGGGAGTGACGGGCACGGTGCCAAGACGCGGCCGGAAAGACAGCGAGCGGCGCCATTGGCAGGCGTCGCCGCGTACGCCATCGTACCATGTCGAGGGAGTAGAGACCGGCGAAGGTGCTGCGGATTCGTGCCACAGCCGCAGGGTCCGTCACAAAGCGCTCTACGACGCCGGGCTGCGCCAGCACCTGCTGCACCTTCTTGGTGCCGGCCAGGTGTGTGGCGATGTCGGGGCACGTGATGGCGCGCGACCGGTCCAGCAGCTCGCGCGCCTCCCAGTCCTGCGGCACCGACGGTCGACAACTCAGGCGGTGGGATCGACGCGGCATCCGCGTCCTCCGCTTGGTTCGAATGAGCAACGCTCGACGATGGGTCACCGACCGACGATGATTATGCAGCTCGCGACGGCTCGCACGAGCCAGACTGACGTCTGGACCAAATGACCGACACGCAATGCCCCATCGTGAACTTTCGTGATTGCTGGTAAGTGAGATATCGGCACGTTTTTTTGTCAAAAATCAGACAAAGAGGAACATTTAGGAACACGTGGATTGCGTCCTTGGGGCTCGTCATTGTTCTTGGTGCCGGACTCAGTTTGTTTGGTCCCGGGCTGTGCCGCAGGGTTGCTCTCTCTCCTCTTTGCCGTGTTTCCCTGACATGACAAACCTCCCTTCTACCCTCATGTAGTGTTCTGTCTTTTTTGCATTGAGATTGTAGATGAATTAAAAAGTGTCGTTGTCGCACCCGATAACCACGCATTTAGCACCCCCATGTGAAGTTTATCATTGGGACACGTGTGCATGCGTTTGCAAATCATAGGAACCCCTGACCTTAGGTCCCGAGTAATTGTTGGGCGTGTAACCAGATCGGTAGTAGACCACCGCGATCTCCGTCCCGTTCCTTACACAGAACACGGAACACACGGAACACACACAGAACATACATGTGAGGACACACGTCAACTCATACGTGAACTCACACGGAACATACACACACGTGAACTCACACGGAACACACACGTAAACTCACACGGAACATACACACACGTGAACTCACACGGAACACACACAGGACAGACAGAACACACACAGAACATACATGTGAGGACACACGTCAACTCATACGTGAACTCACACGGAACATACACACACGTGAACTCACACGGAACATACACACACGTAAACTCACACGGAACATACACACACGTGAACTCACACGGAACACACACAGGACAGACAGAACACACACAGAACATACATGTGAGGACACACGTCAACTCATACGTGAACTCACACGGAACATACACACACGTGAACTCACACGGAACACACACGGAAACTCACACGGAACATACACACACGTGAACTCACACGGAACACACACAGGACAGACAGAACACACACAGAACATACATGTGAGGACACACATCAACTCATACGTGAACTCACACGGAACATGCACACACGTGAACTCACACGGAACACACACGTGAACTCACACGGAACATACACACACGTGAACTCACACGGAACACACACGTGAACTCACACGGAACACACGTGTGAATTAACACGGAACACACGAAACACACGTGAACACTACACGTGAACTGACACGTCAAATCACACGGAACACACATGTGAACTCACACGTGAACTCACATGGAACACACACAGACACACTCGGAAAACACACGGAACACACACGGAACATATACAGAACACACACGCAAACTCACACGGAACACACAAGTGAACTCGAGCTGAAGGAGTCGGAGAGGGTGCGTGCGGTGAATTTAGCCCTGGGCAGGCCGCATAGCAATTCTTTGTGCAATGTTTTGCTTACACATGCAGGGTGCGATCGGGAAGAAGCGACGCCTGCTTCGTCACGTCCCCGAATGTCTTGCGCAGCACCTTGATGCCTCTGGTTGTCACACCGAAGCCGCAGGGCGATGGGCGACACCAGGCACGGCACCGCACACAACACGGACAGTACGCGCCCACAATTAATTTGTCAATCGTACGCCGGATGAGGGCATCGCCGCATCATGGTGGGTCGTGGGAGTTATCTGACCGCATTTCATAGCACCGAGTTGGAGAACGTGGTGAGCATAGATGAAGGGGGGCATATAAGGAAAGTATAAAAACTTCTAGAGGGGCTAGAAAGAGCTCCCTCTCGTGGAGGCCCTGTTGCCAGCAGCATATAATAAGTCACAGAGTTTGCAGTGAGTGTGTGGAGGCGCACTGCGCGTGGGTGTATGAGAGATGTACATTGATTACCATATAAATAGCCCAACCGGCAATGGATACCCATAGTCATTTATATGCATTAATTAATCCCCCCCCCCCACTCTTGCTCAAGAAGGGCTCACAAGTGATGTCATCACATCAACCCCTCTATTCAAGGAACGAAACAGGAGGATTTCTCCACAAATCTGGCTGTCGCCTGATGAAGCGCATTGTAATTACTGGAGAAACATCATACTAAGATTGTAAATGTTGTGGCTTTGCTCTCCAACACACCAGTGTGCTGTACTAGCAACGAATTGGCATGTTCTGTTTACGTGACAAACCTTAGTAATTGGTTGTTTCGGGTGGTGGCGGGTTTAACAACACATTTATATATTTACGCGATCTCACCCAAAAAAACCTCCATTATGGAGGTGCCGTACCGTTTCCACAGGGCGTACTCCACACAACGCTGGTCAAATATATTCCTGCAGTCGGTCTCCACGAGGAACATCACCGCGGCCCTGCAGGGCAGCACAAGAGCGGGACGCCACGTGGGTCATGGCGAGGGCGCGTGGCCACAGCGTGAACCTGGCTCACCGCGTGTCCCCTCCGGAGACAGATTCCACGAGAGCCAAGCCTCCGGCCGTGGCCGCGTCACCCTGCGTGACGTGGGTGTCGCGCGTCGGGGGGGGAGGGGGGCTGTGACGCGGCCCAGCGGCAGCGTGTTCGCCGCTTGTTGCGGATGTTCGCCGTTCGAATTAGGCAGGCAGCTCCGCTGACTACTGTGGGTGCATTAACCGTAATACACCATGTAGGTGCCACGGACTTCAAGATCCCGCGATGTCATTCAGGACCATTCGGCCTTTGCATGGCAGTATCATGGACAAAATTTGAAAAAGACGATGCAAATTACTCAGTTGGGATTACACAAAGCAACATTGCCGGCAGGATACCGCGTAAAATGGAAATGCTGCAAGCGTGTAAAGATCAGCGCACACTGGACCTGTGATCCAGGTCACCGGTTCGATCTCTCTCGATATGCCAGTAGAAACGATGGTGCAAGTTTTTTAAACCACCTCTTGCCTCTGCCCACCCAGGAATGTGAATGAGTCCAGGTCGCATGTGGTGGGGTAAGGGGTAGGGCACTCCCCATCTTTTCTCGCACGTCTGATCACAGCGTGGAAGAGTAGCCCAAAGATCCTCTGGAGGGGGCTCTCATAGCGCTCCCTTTTTTTAAGTTGCGGCCCTTCCGCCAGCAGTGGCCCACGTGGGCAATTGCAGGGCTGCTCCTTTACCATAACCACTTTAAATTCGGCAGGGCTGGCAAGTGAGCGGGTGAGGGTACGGCAGGATTTACTTGGGCTCGCCGTACAGCTCCCAGGCCACCGCGATGCCCCTGCCAAGCTCCTCGGCCGGGCTATTGCTGGGGACCTCCACGCCTTCCCCGGGTTTCCCCAGCAGCCTCAGCACATGCCTGCGTAACACAGGGACACCACGGACACACAGCTCGGATTTTTGTGCGGGCGAGTGGCACCCGAAAGAGAGAGAGAGAGAGGTGCCGCAGCAACCCGTCACAAGGAGTCATGAGGCTATGAGCAAATAATTCGGCATGCGCCTGATCTAGGAGCATATTGGAAGATATTCAGAAGAGGGAAATGCAGAAAACGTAACCGGTGTACTATAGTATGCTCCCACGCGTATGCTCCCACCTTCACCAACCCGTGCTGACCAGCGTGGCGAAGGGTGGCCAAATAACCACTGAGCCGTAAACTATGCGGAGACCCTCATCCAGCAGTGGAATGACAAAGGGCTGTGCGTGCCACGTATGTCACCGGAGGAAAGGGTCGCGGAACGCATCAAAGATGCTGTCCGTCTCTTCGCCAATACGTACGCCATAACAAACCTAACGCGCAGTCAGCACACACGAATTCGGCCGCTTTATTTTGGGAAAGGCCCATTGAGCTAAGAAGCCCTTTTTCAACTGTGACCCAGGCAATGTGGCCATCTTCAAGCGAACCTACCACTGCTCGTCCACTGGCCAATCACTGCCCCGGCCAAACGTTGCGCCGGCGTTGGCTCACCTGTGCAGGTCCGGCGTGCTGCACGACAAGCCTCCGAAACTGGCGGCGAACGTGTTCGTCTCGATCTGCTTCAGCGACGACGACGCGCCATCGGCATGCAAGTCGAACATGTAGTCCGACCGGTTGAGGCCCAGCACGACCGGCTGTGAACGAAGCGCACAGTGAAAACAATCAGGACTACTGCGTAAGGGTAAACTGCCTGGAGTGTCCAACAACATCGAGGGGTAACCGCGTGGCAACTCGACGAAGCAGCGCTGTGCCATGGGTGGCTTTTTCTTTCACCACTGTTCGCCAACTAACCCAAACGCCGCGTCCGGTGTTGTCTTGTTATTAGCAACGATCAATCCACTGCTGGATGAAGGCCTCCCCCCAAGCTGCCGCCTTCTGTCAAGATCGCGTGGTACAACGATCCAGCCGGCAAAATGCGCAAGAGCTGCTTTCATAGCTCCATCTCTGCGGTGCACGCCCAGTCGAGTGCGTCCCCCTCTTCTCTGGTCGCCACGTCAGCATTTGTCTAGACCACCACCATCAACCCTTCCAGTGACATGTCCTGCCCAAGCCCACACTTTTATTAACAGCCCAAGTCACGAACTTGTGAATGTTCTCTAATCCCACACGTTCCCCCTTTCTGTCATTCATTGCAATTCCAAGCATGCATCTTTTTCGAGTCATTAATACATTAACGTTACTTGTTATGACATACAGGCAATCCGCAGTCAACGTGCTTTTGTGGTACACCATTTAGGAATAATGCACGCTGTGTATTTAGACGTCATCCGCAACGTGACGTACGCCACACTAGCCTGGCACCGAGACCTAACGGCGTTGCCAGCAGCCAGTGCAGTACGATAAGTAGTGCGCTACAGTGTACAGCATCTCGCCGTGTGTACACCATCACTCTTCCCTTCGTCTCCATAATGCAACGCCGGGGTAGTTACAAGTAAGTAATACTGTATTTCTTTATTTTCATTTTTATTTTAGAGGAATGGTATTAGAGTTTCCATGATTTTCTTTTTCATTCAACGTATTAGAATGTGTGTACATGTATTGTATTGATATAGGCCAGGATAATATAGGCGATTGTCTGCGCATGTGAGTGAAATCCTCTAACCCCCTCCTTTACGAATATTTATTATGGGAAAATTGCTTTTGAGATACGCGATTTTGAATACGTGCGCTTTTCCAGGAACGCATCTATCGCGTATGTCAAGGAGTGCCCGTGTGGACAATCACAAGGAATTTGGACAATTACAAGGTGGGAGACACACTGAGACATAGTTTGACATCATAATTGAGTGACATTGAATTTCACTATCATTACCTGAGAAATGCAGGGCTTTAAAATAGTACACGTGTGTAGTGACATAGAACTGCTCACTACGTAGCATAGCGCTGTTTGCTGGCAGAGAAGGGGATCTGCAGGTGCAGCAGTCTGTCAGCAGGTCACGTGACAAGCCAGAGAGAGGGATGTAGGGGAAATGTTACAGAAGGGGCACGCGAGGGAAGCCCGGGAACCCGCTAGTAGGTTCTAGCAAGGGGGCGTGGCTGGGGCGGAGCGAGGCCACGCCGGGAGGATAAAAGGGGGGACCCTGAGCGGGAGCTCGGGGCTGTCGCCTGGAGTGGGATCCCCTCGTCGTGCTGCTGGAGCCTTCGCCGCCGTCACCGTCTTCACCTGCTCGGCGTCGTCGGTCGGGCAGTCTGCCAGCTGCCCTGATGACTGGGAGCTGTAGTTACTCTGTGCGGACTGTGTGAAGGCTGTTAATAAATAGAGAGACTCCTACTCTTAGTGTCTCTGAGTCAGTCTCTACACATGTTTGTAGCCTAAATCGCCAACACAGCATAATTGGTAACTATTTCGCTTTTCATTGTGCATGGAAGCAACAGCAACCCGGGATGCTTTACTCTTAATCAGTTGTGGTTCACTTTTGCATGCCCTGCCAGATGTAAAATGAAATATATAAAATAAACACCAACTTTTGTGATGTTTTCATCCAGCAATCGCTGGAAAATTCTGAAGACATTCGCCGAGAATTCATCCGAGTCCACCGTGCTGAAATCAAAACACAGTGTGTGCGCGTCAGCAGCAAGCACGCATCACAGCACGCATCACAGGTGGAATTCTCACACAACTGCACCAAAACCCCCGTCTGAATGGGGGAAGACTGGCCACACATTACTTTAGGCCATTACCATAAGTCCAAATTAAAGAGAATACGTGTGTCCCATGACAGATCTGGAAACGCCGACCCGACCATCGGCCACATTCAAGATGAGCCAGCACAAGGCCCTCATGGCACGGGTGGCTTTACCACCTGGCTATATGCAGTGCCAAGCTGGAACCAAACCATATACGGCTCGCCTCGCACGACATTTGAATATGGCCCGGGGCCACGCGTCCCCTTGTGTGACATCAGTGCATCATGAGGTTAATAGCATCACCCTGCTGTCTGCACACATCTCAAATCGTCTATTGCATGTCACGTAAGTCGCATGGCTCGGTTTCTGCAGTAGAAAACCAACCTGGCACCTCCCAAGTCATGCTGGTTTGGCTTGGCATCGATCACGGCACAGCTCAGTTGTGCCAGTGGAAAAGAGCTAATAGTAAACCATCACTGCGAAGTCTTAACATTCAGTGAAGCCAATGAACAAATTAATTGCACACAATTTGAAGTAATTTCCTTTATAGTTCATCTGGACACAAGACTTATAAACTGCTGTTATGTTGGCCAAACAAAAACAGCAGTCTCGCTACAAAAACAAATTCTCCGTTTGGTAAACAAGTGTTTAAATTACAGCAGCCTTCGCGGGTATATTTTTGGCTATATCGCATTTTCATGATGCTAATGCGACCATGTGTTCGAGGAGAACATATATCGTCGACACCCTTATTCACTCTAAAAATAATGTGGGAGAAAAAAAAAGCCCCCACCAAGGATCAGTGCATTCAACCCCCAAACTGTGGCCTCAGAAAACCTCAACGGGACATCTCGCAGCCGGCGGGCACCCGAGGGCTCGAGTTGCAGCCCACGGAGCACACGAATGTAATTCGTATTTAACGACGGCCCACACTTACGGCGTCCAGGAATATCCACGACGGGTGCCCATTGATTACTTAAAGTGGAAGGAAAAGGTGCAGCCCTGCCAATGGAAGGGCCTCTGCTAGGAGGAGGCTCTGGAGGAAGGCCCCTCTAAAGCATATTTTGGCCTACTCTTCACACTGGCCAAGACGTCTTGGAAGAGCAAAGGTGGGAGTAGCCACACTTTACCGCACTATCACACGTGCCCTTCCGATTGACGAAATGTGGTGTACCTATAAATATTTATAACCGCTGGGTCGACAGAGGCGTTGGAGGGGGGTTTACAAAACATAAGTGTCCATGGTTTATAAAACATGTCCATCTGTGCCACGAGATCAAATTAAACTCGAAATCTCTGGATTGCAAGTCCAGTTTGTTACCCATTATACCACAGCAGCAGCAGTTATTGTCCAATGCATGGAAACGCACAGCACATCCAAAGTTAATGCTCACACCAGACACGCGTGGCCTGTGAGACGCAGGCAGTCACGCCTTTGTGCTGAACATTTGACCGCACTCGCAGAGATTTCACTTGTAATCCCCGTCTGACATGGCACGTGCCTGGACAGCTGTGGTATGCATGAGATCATCTGAATTGTTGAAATTAAATCAGTGTAACATTTTACATTAGGGGATGCCGCCATGGTGTAATGGTTAGTAGGGCGCTGGACTTGCAATCCAACCAGCATGCTTACCTCTTCAACGTCTCCTGAAGAAACGCGTGGTCCTGACTCACGCGGTCTATGAGCAGGTTAAAGTCGCGCTGCACCTCCATGGCCTGCTCGAAGAGCACCGTGGGGACGACCGATGGGAACAGGGTGAAGGGCACGAACAGCACACGCTGCAGGCCAGGGAGGAGCGTGGGCAGAAAAAGACACACACATGCGAGCAAGTCATTGTAGAGCACACAGCGAGTGTTAACCACACAGTGTCCGATGGGCACGATCACAAACTCTGCATGGGATGGCTTGACTGGTTATACAACGTCGAATTTGGACCTTTGCCACAATGCACACTTGGCAATGTAATATATACAGTTAGGGAAAAAAGTATTTGATCCCCTGCTGATTTTGTACGTTTGCCCACTGACAAAGAAATGATCAGTCTATAATTTTAATGGTAGGTTTATTTGAACAGTGAGAGACAGAATAACAACAACACAATCCAAAAAAACGCATGTCAAAAATGTTATAAATTGATTTGCATTTTAATGAGGGAAATAAGTATTTGACCCCCTCTCAATCAGAAAGCTTTCTGGCTCCCAGGTGTCTTTTATACAGGTAATGAGCTGAGATTAGGAGCACACTCTTAAAGGGAGTGCTCCTAATCTCAGCTTGTTTCCTGTATAAAAGGCACCTGTCCACAGACGCAATCAATCAGATTCCAAACTCTCCACCATGGCCACGAACAAAGAGCTCTCCAAGGATGTCAGGGACAAGATTGTAGACCTACACAAAGCTGGAATGGACTACAAGACCATTGCCAAGCAGCTTGGTGAGAAGGTGACAACAGTTGGTGCGATTAGTCGCAAATGGAAGAAACACAAAAGAACTGTCAAGCTCCCTCGGCCTGGGGCTCCATGCAAGATCTCACCTCGTGGAGTTGCAATGATCATGAGAACGGTGAGGAATTAGCCCAGAACTACACGGGAGGATCTTGTAAATGATCTCAAGGTAGCTGGGACCATAGTCACCAAGAAAACAATTGGTAACACACTACGCCGTGAAGGACTGAAATCCTGCAGCGCCCGCAAAGTCCCCCTGCTCAAGAAAGCACATATACATGCCCGTCTGACGTTTGCCAATGAACATCTGAATAATTCAGAGGACAACTGGGTGAAAGTGTTGTGGTCAGATGAGACCAAAGTGGAGCTCTTTGGCATCAACTCAACTTGCCGTGTTTGGAGGAGGAATGCTGCCTATGACCCCAAGAACACCATCTCCACCGTCAAACATGGAGGTGGAAACATTATGCTTTGGGGGTGTTTTTCTGCTAAGGGGACAGGACAACTTCCCCGCATCAAAGGGACGATGGACGGGGTCATGTACCGTCAAATCTTGGGTGAGAACCTCCTTCCCTCAGCCAGGGCATTGAAAATGGGTCGTGGATGGGTATTCCAGCATGACAATGACCCAAAACACACGGCCAAGGCAACAAAGGAGTGGCTCAAGAAGAAGCACATTAAGGTCCTGGAGTGGCCTAGCCAGTCTCCAGACCTTAATCCCATAGAAAATCTGTGGAGGGAGGTGAAGGTTCGAGTTGCCAAACGTCAGCCTCGAAACCTTCATGACTTGGAGAAGATCTGCAAAGAGGAGTGGGACAGAATCCCTCCTGAGATATGTGCAAACCTGGTGGCCAACTACAAGAAACGTCTGACCTCTGTGATTGCCAACAAGAGTTTTGCCACCAAGTACTAAGTCATGTATTGCAGAGGGGTCAAATACTTATTTCCCTGATTAAAATGCAAATCAATTTATAACATTTTTGACATGCGTTTTTCTGGATTTTGTTGTTGTTATTCTGTCTCTAACTGTTCAAATAAACCTACCATTAAAATTATAGACTGATCATTTCTTTGTCAGTGGGCAAACGTACAAAATCAGCAGGGGATCAAATACTTTTTTCCCTCACTGTATGCAACAGGAATGGTGCGGCCCTGCAATTGCTTGCTCTTGTAAGGGATGTCAGGGAGTAGGAATGGAGATGGACAGTGGGTTAAGGGGCATGGAGATGATTCCCGCCAAAAAACGTGGGGGGGGGAGGCAGTGAAGCGGAAACAGTGGAAGGGGTGAGCAGCAATCGCGAGGAGATACCGGAGGGGGGCATCGGGGGGCTCGGGGCATTCTGGCGGGTAACGGATTGGGCAAGTGTGGACTGGGGACCCCCCCCCCCCCCAACCTCGTGTGGGAGGGTTAAGGATCAGTGTTGCAGTCACGTTGCGCCAAGCCCCATTCGGACGCACGAGCTTCACCTCCTCTGGAATGCCGTTCACGCGCTGCTAATCACTCATGATAAAAGTTTTTTGGTTAAATCGCGTTATTTATAAATGTGCCGTAACCCTCCACCACCCGACACGGCCTATCAGCAAAAAAAGTGTCACGTTGACAAAAGACAAATAGCCCACCGGTGTGTTGAAGATTGAATCCACAACATTTACAGTTTGAGTAGTACGACGTTTCGCTGGTAATTACATCCAGCATCATCGGGCAATTCGCCAGAATGGTAAAGCCCTCTCCACTTGCTCCTGGTCTTAAATAGAGCAGCAGGGTGACGTCATCATTTAACTCATTCAGGTGCAGTGATTTGAGGTGGAGGGGGGGGTATTGTAATTATATAATCGATTGGTAATCAGTCAATGGTTATGATTAGTAATGAGTTGTAGATTAGTAATTAGTTCTAATATGTTGTGATTATATGCTACGTTAATAATCCATTAATTAGTATGTGTTTCCCCTATAAGGAATTGTAATATGAATTATTTAATAATACGCTTCCAAGCCGCACTAAGCCTATAGCTGTCAGAGCGATTAAAGTTATTTCTATATCTCTCAATTTCAATGGATTCTCTAATTAGTCTTTGCCAGTAATCATTAGTTTTACACAACACTTCAACGTTATCAAAATCAATTGAGTGTCCTTGTTGACAAGCATGTTCTGCCACTGCCGACAGTTGTGTTTGAAATAATTTCATATTTGGTGTTATTTTAGTCTTATGCTGATGTTACGTCCCGTTTGTCCAATATATCATCTGCCACATAAACAAGTAATCCGATATACACCTTCCGTTGATAATTTAGGTAATTCGTCTTTAGTGCAAGATACTAGTTTTTGTACTGTACCAAATCTTACTGTAATGTTTTGCTTTTGCAAAACACGGGTTAAGTTGTCAGTTACTCCTGAGATATATGGAATTTGTATTGTTTTAACAATCTGATCGCTTTCAGCAGTGTTGCTTTGCGATCGTGATTTGGCATTCAGTGCTCTGTTAATTTGAGCATTATTGTAGCCATTCTGTCGTAGTGCTTCTTTAACATGTTTGATCTGTCTCACTAGACTTTCACTATCTGACACTGTTTTAGCCCGATGTATGTCTTGATAAGAGAGGATTTCTGAGCTGGATGATGATGCGAATCTGCATTCAGATAGGCATCAGTGTGCATTTGCTTTCAGTAAACGCTGTGTTATTTTACCGTTTAGGCCATGTCCAAGCAAGTGTTGTTCACCTCCATTTCCATGGTGAACTGGATGGCGGGGTTTTGTGCATTGAGATGATTTAGAAAATCATTAAGTGTATCTTTACCATGTGACCAGACAACCAAAGTGTCATCCACATATGTAAACCAAAAAGATGGTTTTAATGTGTTCGAGGCAAGTGCTCTTATTTAAAAGTTTTCCATGTACAGATTTGCTATAGCAGGAGATAAAGGAGAGCCCATTGCTGCTCCTTCCCTTTGTTTAAATGAAGGAGCAGCAATGGTGGAGGGTTACGACACATTTATAAATAACGCGATCTAACCCAAAAACCTTTATTATGAATAATATTGGTCGCGGAAGCCTACGTGTTAAACTGCTGCTAATCACCTCCGACTCGTTGGGGTTTTCGGGCGTTCTCATGGCGATGCCCCTGTGAAAGGCGAAGTCCTTGGCCGCCTCAGCCAGGCAGTTGAGCAGAGCGATGTCCCGCATCACGTGGACAGGCACCGAGCACAGCGCCTCCATCGCTCGAGCCGCACGCTGCTGACACAACGCACACGGGCGAGCGTCATTCCCAATTACCTCTGCGGAGGTTTTCACGCTCGCACTGTCTGAATTATCCGACGATTTTTTTTCGGGTTGTACACCGCCTGTCGTTTGTCACGACGTTCAGATGTTTCGCTCCACGTGCTGGAAGGTCCTCCTTCTTCTTCTTCTTCTTCAGTGACTGTCAGTTCTTACAAAAGACTGGAGCGAGTTGTCAGACATCATTCAGAACAACACATCCCGAAAACAAACGATACAACTGTTGGGGCAAGTGCTGCGAGCATAGCACCCACGAACCCTGCCATTAAACACGAAGTCTGGCCACCATCGCCTCCCCGCAGATGATTTTGACGCACCGCACCAGTTACACATTTTAAGGCCGAGGTGACCTAGGAGAGGCTCCAAATTGGTTAAGATTATAGCTAGCCACTATAATTAGCCGTGGCCGGCAATTTAACTACGGGTGGCAGGTTGTTCAGGGCAGTGCGCTAACCAGTGGGCCACCGCTCCTCCAACACACGGGCATTGACGTTCCTGTAGCGCATTGCACGGAGCTGCGAGGACAGCGTGAGAATGAACACAGCGATGAGGCGAGTGGCGACGGGGAACAGGGACGAGGTGCCAGATACAAGACGAGGCTGATGATAGGGAGAAGAGGAAGGGTATGAGGATCAGTGTTGTAGTCTATGGGCTAGTAGTGTAATGCATGGGCTAGTGATGATGTACATACAGCATGATGCAGTGTGTACTAGGAGCTAGTGATGATGTATATACAGCAGGATGATGCTGTGTGTACTAGGAGCTAGTGATGATGTATATACAGCAGGATGATGCTGTGTGCACTAGGAGCTAGTGATGATGTATATACAGCAGGATGATGTGTGTACTAGGAGCTAGTGATGATGTATATACAGCAGGATGATGCTGTGTGTACTAGGAGCTAGTGATGATGTATATACAGCAGGATGATGCTGTGTGTACTAGGAGCTAGTGATGATGTATATACAGCAGGATGATGTAGTGTAAACTAGGAGCTAGTGATGATGTATATACAGCAGGATGATGTGTGTACTAGGAGCTAGTGATGATGTATATACAGCAGGATGATGCTGTGTGTACTAGGAGCTAGTGATGATGTATATACAGCAGGATGATGCTGTGTGTACTAGGAGCTAGTGATGATGTATATACAGCAGGATGATGTAGTGTAAACTAGGAGCTGGTGATGATGTATATACAGCAAGATGATGCTGTGTGTACTAGGAGCTAGTGATGATGTATATACAGCAGGATGATGTAGTGTAAACTAGGAGCTAGTGATGATGTATATACAGCAGGATGATGCTGTGTGTACCAGGAGCTAGTGATGATGTATATACAGCAGGATGATGCTGTGTGTACTAGGAGCTAGTGATGATGTATATACAGCAAGATGATGCTGTGTGTACTAGGAGCTAGTGATGATGTATATAGAGCAGGATGATGCTGTGTGTACCAGGAGCTAGTGATGATGTATATACAGCAGGATGATGCTGTGTGTACTAGGAGCTAGTGATGATGTATATACAGCAAGATGATGCTGTGTGTACTAGGAGCTAGTGATGATGTATATAGAGCAGGATGATGTAGTGTAAATTACGTGCTAGTGATGATTTTACCGGTACACGTTTCTCCGCTCCTCCCATCTCCACGTGACTTTGGAATTCCACCCCCGATCCCGATTGGCTGCACCGCCCCACGTGACTCTAATCTCTGCGAGTTCGTGATTGGCTAATTTCCCTCCCAGCCGCTTCCAATCCCCCTTCTCTCGCCCCTCCCCTCCCTCCCTCCCTCAGCCCCTCACTGTTCAGTTCCATTTATTGGGTATAGCCCTGTGAGCATTCGGCTCTTGAATCGGGTGCAAGCGCAACAAACAAAAAAACATGAACAAGAAAGCATCTTAAAGTGACTATGTGACTGTGCAAACAGAAAATCCAGGAAAAAAAACATCAAAAATATTCCTGAAATAGCACCGTACACCAACGCTGTGTGCAAAAAATCCCAGTGGGATGCAAGTCAAAATAACAACAACAACCACAAGACAACTAAGATTAAGGACATCAATCTAACTCCGTATATAACAAACAAAAACATGGCCAAAACCAAAATTTTTGTTTTCGAAATCACCAAAATAAAAGCCATAAATGCAATGTAACAGTGATCATAGGGACTGTGACCGAATTTTTTAAAAGAAACTACATAAATAAATTATAACACCAAAATCTAGAGCAAGTATTTAGGCCACTGAATAGCAGTGGCAGCTAGGGGTGTACAACTCCTCTAGAGCAGTTTTGAGTGAAGATCTCATAGGTAGTGATTCAAGTTGCAGTTTATTGGCAATAGCATTCCAGACCCTGGGGGCATCAATAGCAAAGGCCCTTCCTCCGGTTTTTGTACGGCAATAGGGAATGTGAAGCTGGTAGATGAGCGAAGACCTGAAGTCAAATTTGTTCTTTGAAACAGAGAGGAGATCCAGAAGGTAGTCTGCGGATTTTTTTGTAAGCACATCGTGAATAAATAAGATCTGGTGCACAAGCCGTCGAACATTAAGAGATGTTAAGTTTGACCCAATGTAGAGATCACAGTGGTGAGTCCTATATGGGCAGTTCAATGCAAATCTTAAGGCCGAGTGATAGATGGAATTAAGCTTTTTCAGTATAGTACTTGGGGCTGATTTATACACGATGTCACAGTAGTCAAGTAGAGGCAGTATGGTAGCTTTTATCAATTCCAATCGGAAAATAGGGGGAAGCAGTGCTTGTGTCGATACAGAAAACCAATTTTTATTTTTGTCTTTTTACCAATATAATCAATGTGATCTTCAAAATTCAGTTTTGAATCCAGGATGACCCCAAGATACGTATAGATCTTGACTTGCTCTATTTGATAATTATTTAAGGAATGTAATTGGGGGAAAAAACTTCCTACTTTAGTCCCGGTGAGAAGCATAGCACCTTGGTTTTGGAGGTATTCAGGACTAGTTTAATAGCAACTAGCTGATGTAGTTTGTTGAAATCACCCTGGAGCTTAGCAATCACGTCATCCGGAGAGCGGCCAGCAGGAATCAATATCGTGTCATCTGCAAAAAGATTTACCCTGGAATGATCCAGGTCAGTGCCCAAGTCATTGATATAAAGAGAGAACAAAGGGGGCCGAGGATGGAACCCTGTGGAACCCCTTTTGTTATCTTAACACTGTTTGACCTCCAACCATCTGTGAATACAGTTTGGGTGTGAGAAAAGAGGTAATTTTTTAAACCATTTTGCTGTGTTTTCGGAAAAACCAAGGCAACTTAGTTTACTAAGCAGGGTGTTGTGGTCTACAGTATCAAAAGCTTTGGACAGGTCAAGAAAAAGACAGGCACAGTACTGCTTATTATCAAGGCTACTGTAAATTTGATTCAGAGAGTCTAATGCAGCAGATGTGGTGCTGTATCTTTTTCGGAACCCAGATTGTTTTAGATGTAGTAGATTGTTGGTGGACAGGAAACTGCTAATTTGGTAGTTCAATAATTTAAAAAAAAATCGATAAAAGTCGGCAACTGACTACCACCACCGACACGGCGGCTGTTTATAACGTAGCGTGCACCGCTTTGCTATGGGCGCGAACTCCAGCACTTGGGGAATGAATGAGGGGAAACAACTTCCACATCCATCCAATAGACACCGTGGTGCAACTCGGCAAGTGTCGCTACTTCCCCCTGTCCCCGACACTGAGGACACGCGCACGCAGCGCACACACGGAGTGTGCTGGCGAGGGATTGCCTGGCACGTCGGGTTTTAATCCGAAGGGCCCCTAGAGGGAAAGTCCCACGGTTTCCCGGTGCCAGGAGATTGGCCGACCCTCGCAGGAAAGGTTACATTGCGGTGCCCCTAAATTGGCTTAACATTGTATGGGCACAGAAAGAAATGGTTCACTGTGCCAACCGCAATAAGTTATTCACGACATGGGGGGGGGGGACTGAGGGTGGAATATTAAGCAAGAAGAGCATGAGGTCAGGAGAATCGCAGCGCCACTGCCGCTCCCCCCATCTCGGCCCTCATACCGAATACTGGCAGGCTGCGTGTTCGCCAGCCGGGCGCCCTTTCCAGATACCCAGCAACGAGGGACAATAGGTGCCTGGCGCCGTCCCCGCGGCACTCGACGGAGGACACGGTAACAGGGGGGCGGTAACCACAGGTAGGCGCACGGTTGGTCACGCGGTACAAACGCCATCGCGGCCCTTGGAATGGGGGGATTAGGCCACGCAAGGGATGGAAAACGAGCGACGGCGCAGGTAAGCGCGCACGATTGGCTGGGCGGTGCGACGTCACCCTGGGCCTTGAAGTTTAGGGAATAAAAAGAGTGGCCCAGGACGATTTTCGCTCTCTTGTCTTCAACCTCTGGGCCGTCAAGCCCCACTCTTTGCCGTCCTGCCTCCTCGAGCCGCTCGCAGCATCCGTGTGATGCCAGCGAGTGCTGCTACGAGGCAGCGATAGGTGAAGTTTTCTCTCGTCCTCCCTCCGACTCTCACAGCGTCCGTGCGACTCCGTGAGTACAGCTTCGAGGTGCGTGGTAGGATGTTTGAGTGACTGGGTACGTAGGCAGAGTTAGGCTTGGCTCTTCTCGCAAAATATTCCCCCAGGTAGTATTTTCACCGCGAATAAAAGTTAGCACAGAGCATCGGTGTGGTGTCAGTGATTTGTGTGTAGAGCGGCCGCGTGCGGAGCGACGCGTTGCGAGAGGAGTGAACGCGGAGCCGCAGCGTGTCCGCGCGTGTTCGGACATAATCGCCCACAGGTGTGGGTGCGGTCGTGCAGCTGTGCGCCGCGTTGGCGTGAGTGGTGGTGTACACGGGCGAGTGTGTGGGTTAATTCCGTGCGGCGGTGAGCCAGCAGTTTAGCCATGTCCCTCAGAGAGGGCGCTAGCGTGGGGGGGGGCGATCACTCGGTCGGCGGGGGCCCGGTGGGAGCCGACCGACGCGGTTGAGGAGAGAGCGGTGGGGCTTTCGTCGGCCCCCAAAACACTTAAAATACGTTGCCAACAGACAGCAGTGCGTAAAAAAATATCAATCGTTGTACTGTACTATGACCTCAACGTCGACGCTCCCAACTTACACCAACCAGCACCAGCGTGGTGAAGTATGGTCGAACAATCCCCTATGACTCACGCGGCATTCGGAGGCTCTCATTCAGCAGTGGATTCCCTCCATCTAGCCCCTTGTCTCTAAACCCTTAATACAAATCCGCGTGAAAATGTATCACGTGCAAGTTGAGACTTCACAATTAGCTTTGTCAAGGGAAGCCTGTCCTGAGTCTCGAGACTTTTGTTTCAGGATGCTGCTGCTGTTTACATGGGGGGGGGGGGGGGGGTGTTTGTCCGATTAACAATGAACGCGAGTTTGGCTTCACGTGTGTAGTAACCCAGAGAAACCCCACGCAATGCGAGCTGACGTCCAAAGCGCGCCACACAGATAGATTAAAGAAAACACATCCATTGCTGTACTCATACCTGTCAACCCCTTATCAGTGCTGCCTACCTTATTACACACCAATTTAGACCTGATTGGTCACCCAGTGCCCCTTACAAATCTCAACGTTCACCCTACAAAGTCCCATCACAAGGGAGAAACACAAACAAATAGACAAACTATTATAATTGTGTTTGCCCGCATTGAAACAGCTGTACGCCGTACGTACCTGAAAACTCAATGTCCCTGTACAAGAATACGGGGTAAACCAAATGGTTTGACAGGTATGCATACTTGGAATGCCCCGGTCACCCATCTATTCGGCCCATGCGTACACATTAACTCAACTTCGTTTGAGATTCTACACAAACTGAAGGTTGGCTAGAGGTGCGTGTTCCACAGCTCAATGAGACCTCGCGTTTAAAACCCCCACGGCGCCTCGTTCACTCTCACCTCGCAGCCCAAGGCAGGACCACGGGGGCGGGGGGGATGAACGCAGAGTCAGTCGCGGGTTTGTCCAACAGCAGCAGCCAGGGCCCTCCGGGTGTCTGGGGAGCGATGAGAGAGCGAGAGGAGGGTGAGAAAGAGATGTGCGAACGACTTTGCCCGTGCGAGAGAGAGAGTTTACACGCGGAGGCGGTCCCTGCTCAGTGCTCACACCCAGAGCCGCCGCCGCCCACCACCACCACCAGCAGCACCCCCCGTGGGGTGCAGAGGTCACCCCGCTCAGCCTGCACGTGTCGCAGCAGCAGCAGCACCACCACCCGTGCCCCGACCCACCCGTGGGGTGCAGAGGTCACCCCGCTCAGCCTGCACGTGTCGCAGCAGCAGCACCACCACCCGTGCCCCGACCCACCGTGGGGTGCAGAGGTCACCCCGCTCAGCCTGCACGTGTCGCAGCAGCAGCACCACCACCACCCGTGCCCCGACCCACCCGTGGGGTGCAGAGGTCACCCCGCTCAGCCTGCACGTGTCGCAGCAGCAGCTTGCGGACTTTGCAGCGTCGTTCTGCTGTCAACCCATACGGCTTCACCCTGTGTTCGTGTACGGCGTACGGACGTTTCAATACGGGCAAAATAAATACTGTGTGTTTGTGTCTGTTTGTGTTTCTCCATTGTGATGGGACTTTG